AGGTGCTGTAGTGATTGACGTCCCCTGGGGGGGGGGGGGGGGTCCCAGCGCCGTCCCCTGGGGGGGGGGGGGGGGTTCCCACAGCCGTCGCCTGTGGTGGGCGGAGCATTGTGGGTGGGGCTTATTTGGGTCATACTAGCTCAAAGGCTCTGTGTACTGTAAACGTAATTGGCTAAGTACGTTTGGCTGAGTATTGTACAGTGAATAGATGGCATGCTGGGGGCGAGAGATAATGAACAGTGTCCCTTGGGTGTAAATTGCTGTGGTGTCATCTGTGACGCTGTGTAAACAGCTTTGCCGGTATTGGGTCCAGCCCTGGACTTCGGAGACGGACCTGCAGTGGCACTGCTCCCTCATGGTGACACTTTTAAAAGCACATCTGCCTGTTTTCTCCTGCGGCCTTTGTGAGGGAGATGCTGTCGCTTTAATGAGAATGACCCCCCCCCCCCCCCCCGCGGAGGCAAGACGGCCTGTGACGGTGGTCTCTGTCTTCCAGGGAGATCTCCGGAGCTACGTGGCCCGGCAGAAGGGGGAGCTTGCAGATGAGGAGAAGCTTCAGCTGCAGAAGATGGCGTGCGAGATAGCCGCGGCTGTGGCCTTCCTACACAAGCACAGCTTCCTGCACAGGTACCCTGGCCTCCGCGCCGCTCTCGTCACGCTGTGCACACGTATGCAGAAGCACACTGCCCCAGCTCCCGTTCCCTTAAACAGCGGCCTTCCCTTCCAGACATGTCATCTTACCGGCCATTATTATCAAAGTCGGCTTCGTAGCTGTGTCCAGCTTTATCAGACCGGACCGGCATTTGACAGATATGCCCCTTTGGCAGTGCCAGTGTTGGTGCCCAGGAACCTCTCCCCTTACTGGACCCGGATGTGGGGGTTTCCGGTCTTCCCGTCCGCCAGGTTGCGGTGCCCGCCCCAAAACCACGGCGGGTTCCAGCGCTTTCCAAAAATGGAGGCTTCCTTTTCGTTTTCGCCCCCATCGCGAGTCGCCGAGCGGGTCGGCGTCGGGTGACATGCAGCGCTCAGCTCGTCTGCCGCTCCTGCGGCTCGGAATAAGCCTCCGGGTGTCGAATTGCACAGCTCCCACGCATTGTTGGAGGTCGGGTGTCGTCTGTCCGCGGGATCTGATGATTCTGCTCTTCTCGTGTAAAAGGATATATTCGCATTGGGAGTTTTTAACTGTCTAACCGTTCAAAGGCGGGTAGGACGGACCAGTGTGCCGCTTCAGTGTCACTCGGCCCGGACGTGAGTTATCGACCAGCCGTGTGGCTTGTTGCATGGACTTGTGGGATACGTATGACCATATGCTCTATCGCGTATACTTGGCCTCATCGCCTTGTGGCACGTGCATAAATAAAACGATACGAGTCCTTGGCTGGTGATGCCGCAGAATGTTTTGTTAATAAGGCCCGGCTCATGAGTGGTCGGACATCCCATAAAGAAGGTCCTGTTATGAGGCCCGGCTCAGAAGTGGAAGGATAATTCTCACGCAAGGTCTTGTTGCTGGACCTAGTTCATAAATGGGTTGGTGTACAACTCACTGGGTTTGGGGGTTTGTATTTGTGTCTGGAAGGTTGTGGGATCCTGTCCCAAAGCCGACAGTGATCAGTCGTCACGTGACCCCATGTGCTCCTGGGCTGTGGACCGGCCAGCCGGCGCTGCCTGCTTCCCGCCTTTCCTTATTTGTACCTCGGACAAAAGTGTAAAGAAGTAAATGGGAGAATGTCCCCTAAAAAGCTGGTGTTATGGTGCCCAGCTCTCGAATGGGCCAACACTCATGGCCCGGCTCTCCATGAAGACCATGACCAGGGAGAGGCCCGGTTCCGGGGCCTGGATTAGGCCTCCGCTAACACACTTCTCTTCTCCCTTCAGCGACTTGGCTCTGCGCAACTGCTTTCTTACCGCTGACCTCACTGTTAAAGTAGGAGACTATGGCACTGGGCCCTTGGCGTGCAAGGTACGTCCAGCGGGGATCAGCGGGGATCAGCGGGGATCAGCGGGGATCAGCGGGGATCTGGAGTCTTCAGCCCAAAATGGGAAAACCTGCTGCTATGATTCCCAGTACTGTATAATAATAATAAAGCCAAGTAATGAAGAAAGATGAGTTTGTCTTATTGTAAGACCACGATTGTAGTTAGCTAACCATCATTTGGGGACTGACAATTTGGGTGACAAAACTTTGAAATATGACTTTTGAAGTTTGAAATATGCTATTTGCTCAAGCTAACCTGTGGGTTCTGAGTATACAAGGGCCCTGACCTACCATAAAAAAACTATAACAATTATCAGAGTCAGGCGCGTCTGAGGTTAAGAGGAACTCGAGCTGAATGCTTGCATGTAATGCCGGTGGTGATGTAATGCCGGTGGTGATGTAATGCCGGTGGTGATGTAATGCCGGTGGTGATGTAATGCCGGTGGCACCTCACTTGTTCTCAGGAGGAGTACATCACTACGGAGGCGGACACCGAGGTCCCCCTGCGCTGGATGGCCCCCGAGCTCATCGGGGAACTTCATGGTGGTGTGATCGCTTCAGAACAGACCAAACCGGGCAACGTGTGGTAGGTTTTAACTTCCTGTATGCTTATTGCTGTCTGAAGGTGTCCAGCTGTGTGCCGGACGTGCGTGTTGCCTTTTCAATGGACATTTACAGAATTTCTGACAGAATTCTTTGATTACGTCTGCAGAATGCTCTTTAATTAATGCGCAATCTGGATATTTAGATTGTATGTTTGATTTGATAGATTGTATTTATATATTGTCATTTTCTTTCTATACTCCTACTTTACTTTTTACCTTTTATTTTATTTTTGCACAGCAAAAATAAAATGTATCAGAGATACAGTACAACTTGCAGTGAAATGTATGTGACGAATAAATCTCTCGAATCACAAATGGCATTTCTATACATCTTTGTCCACACAGCTTCCAAGCATGGGCGGATACAAAGTGTCCCCTTGGCAACTGCAAGTAGTTAGTCTGAACCCTAGAAAGTAGGCTTCGTTATAGTCTATCAGTGGTGCATTATGGGTATGCTTCTCCAGGGCTTTGGGCGTCACGCTGTGGGAGCTGTTCGAGAGTGGAGTGCGACCCTATCCCAGTCTGTCGGACATGGAGGTGTTGCTTCACGTCATCAAGGAGCAGGGCGTGAAGCTGCCCAGGCCGCGACTGGTCCTGCCGCACTCGGACAGGTGGTACGTTTCCTCGCATGCTTCGATCTGGTTCTTCCCATGGGCCCTGCATCCTTGCCTCCTGATATTCATAATCAATCTTTTTCTTTGTTACAAATTCAAGTATCAGTATAGTTATGTTCTTACAAATACACACATCTGTTTACGACCAAAATCTCCCTGAACGGGAAAAGACGCCTTTATACCAGTTTATACGAGTCTTGCTCATAGTGGTGGGTAACAGGACCCCAATGGTACCAAATCTTGATAATATTAGATATTATTACTGTATGTTGTGCTGTAATTGATTGTTCAGTTTTGAATTTCAGACTTGCCTGTACTTGGCTGTCTAGATATTCCTGACAATATTACATTCCTTGTTCTCTAATCTCAGGGACCAGAATAGATATTTCTTCCCTTTCATGGTAGCTGTCTTCCTGTGGAGTTTGCAGAAATGGCTCACGGCGTCCTGACACTGAGCCAAGCATCCATGCAGATAGAAGGACGCTTTCCAGACCCCTGCGAATGCTACCTGACAGCATCCACTCAGTTGATTTGTGCACTTACTGTTGTTTTTCAAACCGTAAGGCTTAGTGGCTGCTGGCAGGTGAAAACTGAAAATTGGCCAAGGCTCGATTTAACGAGTCAGAACGTTTCATTCTAATACCAAATAAAGACATGCAACATTTCACATCATCGTTAATGGTTTTTGTGATATGGCTGTTGGGATACCCCTCCGACCTGATGAGTGGGGACCTCACTTTTCTCAGTGGGATTTTGCTTGGAATCTCCTGAAAAACTGTTTGTAAAAGATTTAATTTCGTCCCTAGTTTAGTTGTAGGTTTTTGTAGGCTTCTGCAAGAAAACTGAGGATGAAATTGACTCATTTTTAGGATTATTACAATGTGGTTTTTGAAAGAGATAATGACAATGGCAAAAAATATCCCTTTGTTTTTATGACAAAATACTTGAATGTGATCATTTTGGACAGTGAAGTAGAAGCATTTGTATATGCTGCTAGATTCCTTCATTATCATTGAAGCCATGTGTAATGAATAGCTATGCAAAGGTGTAGGTCTGCCCTCTCCTCAGCTATCCCTATCCTCGGCAGGTACGAGGTTCTGCAGTTCTGCTGGCTGGTCCCAGACAAGCGGGCCACGGCTGAGGAGGTCCACCGGCTGCTCACCTACCTCCGCTTGCAGGCCCAGAAGCAGTCTGAGGAGGACTTCGAGCAGCGATGGGACGCCCTGAAGCCAAACCCACCAGCCAAGCAGGCTACTCTCAGTCACTCCTCCTTCCCGATTCTGGATCGTTTCGGCGATGAGGTTTTGGCCCGGGAGGTAGACGAAGTGCTGACAGTGACAGAGACAAGCCGGGGACTCAGCTTCGAGTATGTGTGGGAGACGGCTAAGCATGATCACTACAACAGTGCCAGCGGTGGTGGCCTTGCCTTGGACAGCGGATTTAATTACCACAACATGTTCTTCCCCACGCAAGGGTACAGTCCAGAAACTCGCGCTTTACCGTCTCAGCCCGAGAAGGGCGCTGAGATGTTGCCTCCACCCGGCGTCCCTGGAATCTTGCCTGTCTTCGACGCGCACAAGACGGCCACTGGCAATGAGTACTACATTCAGTTGGAGGAGCAGGAAAAGTGTCGGGATGAGGAGAACCTTGTGGAGTTCAGTGGGGGATGTGAGGATGGAATGACCCCCAGCGGGCAGCAGTTTGTGGTGCTGCGGGACATTCCCCTGGATGAGTCCAGCACGGACGTGGACTTCTTTCATCGCAGCGTAGACTCCAAGGACTCCTATCTTCACGAGAGCCAGGCATGGTCATCCAGTGATCAAGAGAGTCCCTACCACTCCAACATCTTCAGGGAGAGTGGTTCCAACGTGAAGGACTCCAGCACCTGGGGCAAAGGGTTGGTGGAGATGCCGGAGCTTAATGGGAGGGGGGATGCAGGCCAGCTTTCAGAGAGCAGCAGCAAACTCCAGGAAACTACCCTGGAGAACCAAGATATAAGGCAACTTCTGAACTCAGACAAGCTGACAGAAAATTTCTTGTTCCTCAAGGACAAGCACCTAATGAAGGAGGACTCTAATCTGTCAGAGGAACAGGAGTCTCATTACACAGGTAGTATAGGAACAGATTCAGCCTGTAATCCAGGGACAAATGTCACATCTGAGGACACATCTGAGAGAGTAGTGTCTGGCCTGTTTGACGGCCCTGTACAATGTGGGGTGGGTTCGGTTTCTGCAAATGAAGAGCATTTGAACTCAAGTGCCGACATAACTGGCTTTTTGGAGCCTTTTAAGAGTATTGAAACACTGGTGCCTTTAAGTTCACTGGTTAAAGCAGAGAACTGCAATAACCAGTTATACATAGGACATGGCTCTTCCACTGAAGATGTTCCACTGCATTCCTCTGGATCTGGCATGGTTGTCCATTCAGATTCTACCTCTGTGAGTAGTGAAGTCACTTTCAGTTCTATAAATGGCCATCATTCCACGGTGAGCTGTGAACAAACCACTGAAGACTTTTTGTGCACCGGTGCCAAAATCTCCAGCCTGGAGGCACGTTCAGGAGCTTCCGGGGAAGATGAGAACCCCACAGACGTGAAGGATCTTTCAGAGCAGTCTAGTCTTGCTTCTTCTGCTGCACATATGAGTAAGACTGTGGTGGGCGGTGGCCCAGCTGAAAGCACTATGAAGGATGTTAAGAACAGCTTGAACATTGTGCTGTTTGCACCGCCCCAAGCCGCAGATTCAAGCCCAGGGTCATTAGTCAGTCCTGAAAACAATGACTCATCTTTAGATGAATCTTCCTTCCTGACCTCTGATCCTTGTTTAGACAAGATCAGCCAGGACAGTCTGCTGGACAGCACTGTCTCCACACCACTGTCAACCACTGAGCTTTCTGCCGAGACGCCAGACTCGTCAGACTCCATGGGTCCTCAGAAACTCCAGCCCCCACAAAAAGCAGTGGACAGTGGCTATGAAACGGAGAATCTGGAATCTCCGGAGTGGAACTGCCAGGCTGTCGCCCCAAGCACAGTGCTGCAGCCTGACCTGCCGCAGATCATTGTTTCTGGGGTGGAAGCTGAGGCTGACCTGCAGGGGGAAGGGACCGGGGACGTGGCCTTGCCCTCTGCCCAGTCAGGTAGTGCTCCTCCTGCCAGTCAGCTTTTGCCAGGGGGCAGTCAAGCTTGCCGAGACTCTGCGTATTTCTCTGATAATGAAGCAGAGCAAGATAAGAAATATGAAGATGGGGAATGTGCAGGGAACTCGAGTGATGCCACTCTTTGGTCAACAGGGACCTTTGGAAACGTAGCATCAGTTCATCATAATGTTTCTGGGGATCTCATAGTAGATACAGTTCCGCAGGATATTATTACTGAAGGGCCAGTGTCCCACCTGAGGAAGGAGATGCCTGAGCTAGTCCTCAGCACCGAGGAGGACTGGGACAGGATGATGAAGGTTGTTATCGATGGTACAAAGCAGGAGCTTGAGGTGTTCCCAGAGCCCAGAGTCGGTCTGGAGGAGCCTTTTTCAATATTTGAGGACCCAGAACAAGTCGAGAGATGCAGTGCTCCAGGAAGCCCCCCAGAAGACCGATCAGTGCAAGCAAAGCTGCTCCACATAGGAGAGGGTCCCAAACTGAAGGAACCTGACGTCGAGGGAAGATACCTGGGCAAGCTGGAAAGCATGACCCCTCTAGTGGTAGTAGAGGATGACATGGAAGCAGATGAGGAAGACGAGGAGGAGAACAGCGAGGACTCGGACGACGACGTGCTAGCTTACCGGCTGCATAGCTCCGACTCGGAGAGCGAGGACGACACCCAGTACCCAGTGCCTGTTGTTGTTACGGACACTAGTGACAGCCACAAACTTAAGAGCCTGCTGAAGAACACCATGCCCTCACCTAGCAAGTCGTCACTGCCAGGCAGCTATAATGCTTCCCCCATTAAAAAGGCCATCTCGTTCTTTGATGATGTCACCGTTTACCTTTTTGATCAGGTACTCTTTTACTGTGGGAAAACCTATTGGCTAGATTTCCTCATGTTCGGTGAAATGTCAAATAATTCATATTTACTGGTCCAGAGATTGCCTGTCTTGACCTTTTCTAAATGTGAGCTGGTGTGCATTGAGCGTGAGATTAGAGCGTAAAAGAGAATATATAACAAACAGAGAAGCCTGAGATGAATATGAGAAGCTCCTCTTTGCTTCTGCTACGAAAAGTGAATCACCTGCAATTAGTCAACAGAAATCGGAAAGCTCATTCCGTCTCGCCGAGCTCCAACTGTAAAACGCCGCCTACCGTCATTGGCCTCTTGACAGTGACATACATGTGCCAGGCAGAGTTTAAAGATGACCGCAGGGTCTCCTCTGACATGTGGATGTTGGTATGGCATTTGATGTCTGGCTCTTTCGGCTTACGCTGAACCTGTGCACCCCCCCCCCCCCCCCAGGAGATCCCCACTAGGGAACTGGCCAGCCCAGCGTTGCGCTCCAGCAACTTGGCCCAGTTCAAGAGTCCAGCATCCTCAGGCAGTTTCCTGGCCCGCACCCTCTCAGAGGGATCCACGGATGAAGAAGGTATTGTACAGTCTGTGTGCCTGCTCATGCATCTGTGTGCATGTATGGATGTGTATCCCTGTATAAATCCCTGCCCTCCCCCCCAGGCGGCGGGTTCGAGTGGGACGATGACTTCTCCTCTGACTCGCCCTTCATCTCCAAGGCCACCGGCAGTCTGGGGACGTCCAGGACATCTGCCGCTTTCTTCTCCCTCCCTACAAGCCAGGCCTCTCCTTACGCCATGTCCGCCGCGGACCGCGCCCACGACCAGAGCTGGGCCTCCCGCTTCTCCATCTCCACTGCCAGCATGGCCTTGTCTCTCACGCACCTCACCGACTCCGACACGGAGCAAGCAGGCGAGTAGCTGGCGTGTATGTGCTCGTTTGTACAGTGCAGGTGTAGTTTACACACACAGTCATTCACTGTAGTTATTCAGATGACCAGACAATCCAGACCACGTTGACAGTGGTGAGCTGTCTTCATAACTGAAGATCATTATAATATGTACATACCTGCAGATGTAATGATGACAAACAGCTGATAACAGAATAGTGAACAATAACATCCATACAATATACTGTACATACAATACATATATGTGGGCATATATACACACACACACACACACACAATATTTATACAATATGCAATAACATACAAGCAGGGCTGAGGTTGAAGGGTCAGTGGTAAATAACATGGGTGACTGGGATCGTACTGTGACTTACCAGTGTGTATTTGACATTCTTACTGTTAGGGATGCACCAGTACTGGTATTGGGTCTCATACCATGCTCATGTCCTTGTACTCGTCCTTGTGACAATGTGTCTATGACCGATACCACTTAATGATGTATTAGTGATGTCATTAACGAGCAAAATATCTGCAGCGTGGAAATACCTTTAGCTTAATGACAAAACCAAAAGCACAGCGGACTGAAAATCGTGCAGTTCTAAACGATCAAGAAGCAGGTACGAAATCAGGTTCATGCAAAACTAATCTAAACGTCTAAAAACTGAGCATAAGAATTTGATGAAATTGCCATCAATCTGCAACAACCAAACACACTGCAAACACTAGCAGAGAAAATGTCAAACGATAAACCTTGCAGTGAGCTCTTACCCAGGATCAGTCAGGCACAATGTCATCATGGTGCCACATGGAAAAGCATCGTAACTAATGTGGTGCTACGCGGCGTAAGTTACAGTTTGTGAATCACTGTTTTAGAGGTTCTGGAGTCACGCTTTTAAATCATAATTCACCTGTCGATCCATCATTTTCCTCAGAGACAAAAAAAACGATGATCAGCGCTGCTCTGATCAGTCGTCCCCCAACCACTGGGTGGCAAGTCGGAGCTGAATAGCGGATTGTCTGTATATAGTTTTGTACCCCACGTGGTGCTGCAGTAGGGGGAGGGATTCCAACATTATTGCTTATACATATATTTTTAAGTTAAAGTATCACATAATATTTTTTAGACCTCTCATAGCCCTAATTGGTATTGGTGAGTACCAGAAAGTGAGTATTGGTACTCGGCATCGATACTCACACTCAGTCTGAACAAAATGGTTTGTATCTTTTGTGAAATTGCAGGGAGCAGTGAAGATGGAGAAAAGGACTAGCCAGCATGGGGTTTCTCCCGTACCTCCGTCAGGTCCCATGATGCACCTTGTTAAGCGAAGTCCGTCGACTGGAAGCATGAGCTGGCCACCAAAATGCTGGACACAGGAAGTAGCTGGAATCAGCACTGCATCAATTCCGTTTCCATGTTCACTGCACGGCTCGAGTCGCACTTTACAGTGGCTGGTGTTACCCCAGCATACAGCAGTTATCTTGGGCTTGCTGGGTTACTGGCGGTAAGCTCTGCACTCGGTTTAGAAAATTTCACTGGCCTTGTAATGGCCGGAAGCGGCATGTAGCTCTGGTCTGTGTGCTCGGTGCTCCACTTGTTCCTCTGCAGATCATATAGGTGTCGCCCACACTGTGGGAGTCCCTCAGCCATGCCAGCCACCCCCAGCAGCCTTTCATTTACGCTGGCCTGGCTATCAGTGCATCGGTCCGGGTGTCCATTTTAATGCTAACCTGTATCTCTTTCCGGCCTATGGCAGGTCTGGGGAGTGATTTGTAAGCCTCTGCGAGTCTATGGTGCCTCAGTGAGCAGCCTGGAAAAGGGCTGGAGGTTACCTTAGGTGTGAATTTCATGATTATGTACTGTTAGGGGGAAAAAAAACAAAAAAAAAAATCAGCTCGTTTATTGAAGAGCTCCCCCTGCTGTGTCCTGCAGGTAGTGCATGCTGTTTTCTCATTGTTCTTTGGCTTCAGAAGTCGGCTGAATCACGGTGCCTGTGAGGTTAATGATTGTATTCTTTCCTTTTATTTATGTAAAAACTGATTAACTACAGACGATAAAAGATACCTGCAGCCATATGCTAATTGAAGGCCTTGTGGTTAATATGGTTTTAAGAGCAATTTGGCACAGGTGAAGTAAGTTGAGAAACGGTTTGTGTCGGCCTCCACGGCAATTCCGATGTAAATCAGTCTCTGTGTTTGAGTGAGTATAACCCCCCCTCCTTTTAATTAATTCTAACATTAAGGCCATGCTGGATGCCCATTTTTTTCCCTCTTCCATTGAGAACATGTGAGACCGATTATGTCCCAGCTGCAGTTTGATCTCGTCAGGGTCACTGTCAAGGATGGATGGATCATAGGCATCACTGCTTATATTTCAGCTTTTATTTGAACGGTTTCTGGGCAGTCCTGTGTGCCCTGGTCGGAAACATCTGCCGCAGAAGTCGCAGGATCGATTGTGTACGTAACCGAGCGGTGGATGAAATGCAGGAGCAGGAAGGAAAACTTAAATAACACATCAGTTTTTAAAGGGGAGTTCGTTAGCGAACAGAAGACTTCTGCGTTCATTATCATTTTGCAAATGTGAGTAGATGCCCATTTTGTTGAAGTACAGAAGGCACTATATTTTAGTAACATCACCTTTGTAATACCTAGAGTCTGTGCTACAGTCAAACTTGAAATTTTAAGGATTTTGTTTTACTCAACACTACATACATTTGCTTAATCTTGCACATTTAAGAGATCTAATTGTTGAACTGTATGGATGTATATAAATGTTTAATTTTGTCTGTAAATTGGGATAGTTGTAATGGAATTGTAGGTATGAGGTTTCATTTTGTAATTTAAAAGCTTTGTTTAAAAAAAAAAGAACATTCTGGAAAAGGTACTCTGCTGATATCCAATGAAAAATACATGAGCAGATGAGGAAATGCAGGTCTTTGATGTGTAAATTTGAACAAATTGTAATATTTTTACTTCATATTGATGATCATGCATAGTGTAATTGAATGAGTTGTTTATAATTAAATACGCTATGTTTATTTAATATTGGGATATGTTCATTAGTTTTTGTGATCTTTTTTTCTAACAGCAGTCTAACATTCACCTAACTGGCATGTTCAACTACTACAGAGTTTCTGAATTAATTTCTTAAAAAGGGACAATGTAATTTCATTTGGGATTGCTTAAACCAGTACACGTGTATGGAGCCTAAATAAAACATCTGTATTTGCAATCGAAATTTAAGAAATGTAGGACATATTTATCCATCTTCTATATAATCAGTACTAAGCCCCTGGTTAGGATGCGAGTCCATCACGTGACACATACAGGCAATGGACCGTTAAACATCCTGGTCCATCAGACCACAGAACTGCTGACCATCCCCAAGTTAAATCAACGCAAATCTCTGCAATTCCCAAACAAAAGTCCCATGATTCAAATAATCATGAAACCCCGAGGAAATTTCTACCTGTTCTCCAGGTAATTTAGTGGTTAATTTGATGCAATCTGATTCCAATTCGTATCAGAGCTGATAGTCTCTAATTTCAATTTCCAAATAGCCAGGCATTTAGCTGTCTGCCAGAATAGCGTTGCGGGTGTTCGGAGATGCATATCACTTACGTGCGTAACTCAATACTGACTATTTGCGCATGCGTTGTCACTGTTGGCGATGTCGCCAGCTATGTTACAAGCATTTTCACCCATAAACGCTCCCTGCGACGCAGAATCATTCATCATGCCGTGCGCCCGCAGCGTAGGCCGGGGAAACGCCACGCTGACTCCCGTCCATCTGCGCGCTGTATAAGTGCAGGTGCGCCCAGTTTGAGGCCATTCCGACCAGTGCCGTGCAGACTTTTCCATGGGCATGTGCTCGAGCTTGGGCCCGGCCAAGGCTTAGGGTAACTTTGGCGACCGAGAGGGGGGGGGTCTTCCTCGGTAAATTTTAGGTGATTTTCGGTTACAGAAAAGGGGCGACTGCAGTAATTAATACATGACAAGGATGTTCTATATATCAGTCTCTAAAGGATTCTTTTTCCCCTCGATTTTTTCTTTTGTTATGGATACAATTAGTCTGCTGCGGCTATTCGAGACGATTTATTGGGTCTGAAGCTCTCATTTTCATCTTTAAAACTTTGGCATCAGAGTGTGAGACATCGATAATATTGTCATCAGTTTGTGCGACAAAGATGTTGTGAACAGTGCCTTCTGCTGGCTGCGTATGATCTTTAATTTTTACACTGAGCTTTTAGACTACATGAAAGGGTTTAAACCTTCAATCAGGACAAAGAAATGTAAATAGACCCAAGAGAGACCGTTTACCACTAACGCCTAATTACTGAGGGAAAAAAACGAACAACAAAGATCTTGGGGAGGTCCCACTTTAATATATAATGCTGTATTCACTCGTGCTAATATCGAAATATCGCATAAACTTACTCATCTCAGAAGCAGAGCTACTGTAATTAAATCAGTGGTGGCTCATCTTGTCATTAAAACGAGTTACTGCCTTCACCAACAGAGTAAATCATTCTCTCAAATTGGACAGAAAACGATCACATAACAGCAATATAATCTGACAGAAAACAGTGAACAGTTTCTCAGCATTGATATTAAAATTAGACTGACTTCAGACGGACATGCAGTAATATTAGTTGAATGTGTAGCTCTAGGACCTCTTTGGGGGCATATTGTAAAGCCTGGTGCTTCATACCTCACTATGACAAATTGTCAATGTCAATTCATGTTTGATGTGGGCATCAGTCCATCTGTTTTGAGTTGTTTACTCTGGGACATGGCCGATACAAACAACGTGTGAGCCTGTATCAGTGAGAATGGGGGCCCTCACAATTCCTTTAGATCAGTGTTGCCTAATCCGGTCCTTGGGTGCCCTCAGACATTCCATGAACCAGGAGCTGGGAGGGAGCAAAAACGTGGACTGACAGGGAGTTCCCAAGGACTGGATCGGGAAACGCTGCTTTCGATGCTTTACTAAATTTATTATTGATTACCTCAATACTAACGTTAATAGAAAACAAAAATGAATAATGTAAGATACAAAGACTACAGCTTATTAAGTTATATAACAGAGCCGGTGCATGAACTGCTTACATAGATTGTTACAGTGTCACAGCCTCTTTACAGTCTTGTAAACTGTAAATGTTATTTCTAAAGTACTTCTAGTTTAATCAGTATAAAGCCAAATTATGCTACAATGTCTTAAAATAAAATTGCTGCAAAGAAAGTGTGTATAAGCTCAGATAAATAATGACGGAAGCTGCTGCTTAAAACTGGGACTGTCTGGCTCAGACAAATCGCACCACCAGATTTAGTTGAGTCCCATATGGTAATCCGGAGCTCAGAGTATAGGCTGAGTACATATATGGAAGGGCGTCCTCCGCTGGCACCAGGGGGCGCCGACTCGGGTTTCAGCCGAGGCCCGCGGACGGAGGGCGGGACTGCATGGCTTGCAACTCCGTGCTGAGACTCAGCATCAACCCGTCAGAAATACACACCCCGAGAAATGTGATTCGGCCCTGACGCAGTCTACCAGGAGCAAGGACGGGGGAAAGAGTCGTGAACTGAAAGTCAGTCACTGGGAGAGATGCATCAGTTCATGGACACACACATCTGAGGATGCTGTTTAGCCTCGTAAACGGGAACTCCGGGTCTACCTTGTCTATTATCACCGTGCAATAATGTATTTAACACATAATAATTAAAGCCCATTCAGATGTGGTCTGTTTTATGCAAATCTGTTCTAATAGCATTTTTCCAATGAATATCAAAAGCAGAGCCTCTTGGTATTTGGCACAAAGATACGGATATTTATACGACCACACAGACATGATTGGATAAAGCATGAGGGAAATATATTTAAATACACAGAAAATGGAAACTAGAGAAGTACAGAACAAAATTAAGTTTTACATATTTTTATACACCAAACACTTGAATTAATCATCAGTTGTATACCCTACATCTGGTAAGCAAATATATAACATACTATTATTGACACCAACATAAAAATGACCAGATATGCTTGTATTTCCTGCTTTCCTACGATTTCATTCATGTGCATTTTCTTTGTGAAGCCAACAGTTACTGCTATTTCAAAAACTGCTTCATCCTGAAAATGTGTATCAAAAGTGGAGTTATTCTGACATCTAGTGGCAAAATGGTAAAATTGCAATGAGATTTCAATTCAGTAAAATCATGGTTAGGACCTGGATACATTTAGGGAGCATGTAACTTAAACCCCGTTCCTTACAATGCGGAGTATATGGGCCATAAACTCCACATGGACCAGAATGAGAAGATGGTAATGTTCGGGGTCACATGTCCTGGCTGTGGAAGCCACAATACCAGTGAAGAACAACCTTGTTATTTATGAGGACGTTTACAGGTAAGTCCATTCAAGGTTAAAACACTGAAATTAATTTGCATTATATTGGGATTATTCAACATTGTTTTATTATGTTAGTATTGGCCACAATGGTAAATGTCAAAAAAGTCTGTATTTCCTTTGTCATTACTGTGGGCAGTTCAATGTGGCGTATCTGTCCATATAAAGTATAAGAATTTAAACTTAGCAGTCTTGTTTTATTACAGAGTAGCAGTTGCCAACAATGGCATGTGGGACCAAGTCAGAGTAGATCATGGCAGAGAGTTTTACCTGACTCTGTATATGCAAGAGAAGCTCAACACCGACACGACATTGACAGGCAGCCTTATGCGCAGACAGCTTCTTCAAGGGTCAATTTTGTCTGACTGAGCACATATCTAGATTTTTTTTTTTCAGTTTGGCTAAAGCATTTCCAGTGGTTATTTACCAAAAATAGTATCCGGAGACTTGTGTTTTATTGGTCTTGCATCTTATTTTCCAAACAGAATCTTCGTGTGGAAAGAATTTGGCCAGAAGTTAATAATCGGGTAAACTATCCCATTAAACGGGCCCTCGTTCACCTGCTGGACCAAGAGTTGCTCGATATGGAGGATAATGTGACCAAATTTTGTGTCGCCGACCTGGCATGCCAAGTAAGCCAAATTGGACTTGCAAGAGTTGTGCAGTCCTGGAATTGTCATAGGATACCAGCTGTGGTAGTATTTGTAGGTATAAAGCCGTATAACAACTGTTAAGGTTGTGTCATAAACTAAAAAAGCTTTTTACCCACACAACATTTTAGTCGGAGGGATACCAAACCAGCTTCTACCAAGAATCTCACAGGAGCTGCTGTCCACTGCTGCAGAGGCAGCAAACATGTACGAGCAGGAGTTGGGTATCCCTGACTTGGGTATCTGCCTCTGCAGTTGGCCCATTTTCATCTGAGGAAGATAGATGCCGTGCAGAGCAGCTGTTTGGAGAGAGCTTTCCAGACATGTCCCTTCTCTTTGACACAGTGGTCAACAATGACCGTAGAGTTTTTCAGGAGGCACTGTTTTATCTCATCAACATTAGAGAGGTATATGTAAGATAAATATACACAGGGGAGTGATCATTCACATTTGTTATATGTATATATTTGTATATGTATGTTAATCTGATGTATGTATGTTAATGATGCTTTTCATGCAATTTTGGGTAACTTCTTGATTCTTTTTGTCTGCTTTTTAAAAGTACTTACCTTTGCATAGGAAATATTTTTTTTAATCATTACATATAACAAAGGATTCTGAACTTACATGTTTGTAAAATTACAATATTTTGTGGTATTGTAACCTCAATTTTAGTTGAAATAAATACCAGTTCTCTTGGGGCCTCATATGTCTTTTAATGTCCAAAAGGTCATTGTAACAAGTATAAAATACATAACTCTTTAACAAATATAATAATTTAACATGTAACAAGTTATCACAGTACTAGATGGCAAAAGAGCTTCTTTTACATTTACGTCTGTGTACATGGCCAGAGTGAGACTGGAAAAAACGAACGTTACAGTTGAAACGTTCTAGAAGATATTCTGTAAGTGTATATTTGAAGCGCAAAAAGCATTACAAGCTTTTTAATCACATGAGTACTAGGCAGCCTCAGCACTGAACGTGCCATGTTATGCAACCTTCAAAAAGGGGGGGTTGCTTAAATAAGACCTCAAAAGTGCAGATAATTAAGAACTATTTACAAACATTTGTGGCTGCTGTAGTGAATACAACATACTAAATGAATAACTTCTCCAGTGGTGCCAATGCGTCAGAGAGAGCCACTTCGTGATTACTGTTCTCCAAGACTTTGGGCAGTAAGAATGGGGGCTGCTCCACTCCTCAATACATCCCTTACATCCAATTAAGCTTCTGCAGCAGGTTGAGAAAACTGGTTTATCAATAGGACCTGTTAAGTAAAAACATAGTTAAGCAGTGCTTTATAGGTGTTATTTTAATTGTGCAACATTAATGGCTTATCCAGTTGCAAATAATTGTTCTTTTTTTGTAGAATAATCTGACATTGAACCCAAGATAAAAGATTTAAACGTACTTATAGAACAATTTAGAAAATTACTGATGGCAAATGGGATATACATCAGCACAACATGATCTAAATGTTAGAAACATATAAAATGATTGTGTGAATGATGGTTAGAGGACTGGGGGCAGTCATGGTCTAATGGTTAGGAAAGCGGGCTTGTGACCAAATGGTTGCCAGTTCAAATTCTAGACCCAGCAGGCCTGGAAAGTGCAATTAGGAAAGGACCTAACCCCAAAATTACACCCCAGGCACACCCCTGCGTGCTGCCCACTGCTTCTGTACCACAATGCTGGCAAAAAGTCCCAAGGTTTCAAGTCAAAGTGATCTTGGAGAAAAAAAGTATTTAATCTTTGTACTAAACATTGTTCTGTGGCAAAATTTAGATGCTTGTAATATTGATATGTCTGCAATAACACAGTTTTCTTTGTTATGGTGGTGCAGGAGGTAGTGCTACCGTTCGGCAACCGGATGGTTGCAGGTTCGAGCCCCGGGTCCTCCTGACCCCATCGTTTCCACAGTAATACTGTCACCGTGAACCTCGTAATGGCCTCTGTCGTTGAGGTCGAAACAATTGAATCTGCCGTGAGGTTGGGGGAAAATGGCTACGTTGGCATCGTCGGTCAAATAAACAGTTTGCCTTTGTACCTGTGACAGATTTTGGGAGTACAGGAGAAGGTTCAATATGTATACACACGCACCCACAAACAGATTTTGGTCTAGCTTGAATATGTTTAACCTGATCACGGTAGTAAAGAATATGAGGCGCCATTTAGAAAATATTTAAAACTTTGGTCACACAAAACACATACTGTATATTAAACACAACACGCAGTCATATGAGAAACATTTAAGCACACATCCATACTACTGAAAACTTCAACTGTGTAAGTGTGAGTTAACTCACACTTGCTCATACAGAAGCTTTTCACACATGTATGTGCATACGTTAATTTCAATGTATGTGCGCGAGCGTTTCATATGTGTGTGTGTGTTTTCAGTAGCATGGATGTGTGCTTAAAAGTTTCACATATGACTGTACCATATGTATATATAACATTGAAGTAGTGTGGATTGACAAAAAATACATACCTGAAATACAACCGAGATCTTCTCTGTGGTCATACCTTCCTCCTTCAGAGTGACTCGTTTGCTGCCCAGGAACAACACAAAACTGTCCATTTCGATCAAATGCGACCTTTCTTTGCAAGTTTGCCAGTTTTCAGTTCAGTACAGTCATTTCCGGGTCACGGCGTTTGTATCAAATGGAAAAAAAAAAAAAATCGGATATGAGCGCTCGTTATCCGTTTTTTCCATTTTTGATTTGAGCGCAAAATGGGAAATCGGAAAACGAGCCATTATCCGTTTTGTCGTTTTGGTTTTGGAAACAAAAACTGAAAATACGAGTGGTTTTCCGTTTTTTTTTTTTGTTTTGGTTGCATATTGAAAAACGGATAAACGAATGATACACGGATTGGGCCCCCATCCCCGAGAACCTGTAGCGCACGAACTCTTAAAGATGGTTGATTGGATGGATATTTTTGAAGACCGATACAAAGCCTAAATGTAAAATAAAGCTAATTAGTTTTAAAACATCACAATATTCTTAAAAGGGAGTATATGCGTATTCGTTAAGCACAGCGCACAGATTAACAGTGCAAACAACTTTTGTCATACCAGTGTCTGACAATATATAAGATTAAATGGAAGCCCAAAACATTGTCTGATTGTGGCTATGGGTTCATATATTTTACATCAATATAGATTTCAAAATGTAGTCTGTCCGAAATACGTCTTGAATGACTGAATCTGAACGCTGCTTGCGCTAGAGACCCCTGTGGCTTTAAGAACGGCTTCCTCCTCAGTTCGGCTATCACATGATTTTGTCCTGTGACTGAAGACGCGGCAGGTAAAGCGATCTTTTAAGTTTTGCGTAGGTTATTGCAAACCTTGTCATTGATTATGATTTTGTAGGGTAAGAACAGATGATGATTAATGGGTTATTAAACTTGGCGAAAATGTTAAGTGATTGCCAATTGAGCTGTGCGTCTCCCCTGCCGTGTTAACGAAGCGGAGTGACCTGATTTGAAAGTTTGTGTTTGAGAGGGTGGATGGTAAAGTTAGTTTTTTTGCGCGTCTTTTTATATTTTAGCAGAAACAAACACAGGCCTTTTCCGTATAGGGAACATCGAAGCAGAAGGGGGAATACCTCCAGTAATATGGACAGCAAGTCTCTGGTGCAAGACAGACCCCCTGCTTACAGCGTCGCCCCTGGGGGATATGAATACGGGCAGCAGCCGCAGCATAACTATGGAGCGATCCGCACGTCTGGCCCGCCGCCGCAGGGCTATCAACCGCCTCTTCCGCCATATCAATATCCCAACGGGCCAGGCAAGTAGCGGGTATTTATAGTTTATCGCTGTCACTTCTCGAAAAGTTTTCTTTTCATAATTGGAAGAGTCTACTGTTACAGATCTCCCTCCTACTGTTTTAAGATGTCTTCCACATAGCCATTATTGATTGTGGTGTCTTTTGAATTTAAACGAATCATTGGTTGTTTTTCTTTCTTCCTTTTTCATAAAGTTGTCCGCTGTTAATATTTTTCTCAGCCTGATTTGCTTTGGTAGCATTTCCAGATATCTATAGTTTGATATCACTTAGAGATGACTTGGATTGCAGCGTTGGCCAAGCAGTGAAATTAAGTGTTTTGCTGGTTGCAAGTAATTTTGAAAACAGTTAATGTACCTCTGCCCTTCCTGGGTCAGTGCAAGATGACGCCTTGATACGTGCTTATGTTCTGCAGCGTGCTCACAGCTGCCATCTATTGGCCAGCAACCGAGTTACTCCAACACGTACACGATCATCCAGCCCTCTGTAGTGGTGGTGGGTGGATGCCCGGCTTGCAGGTATGGTCAGTGTGACAGAATGGGACGGGGAGGGGAAATACCCAAAAGTGATTCATCTGCTCTTAGGAGTTGTTAATATGGGGTAGGATCCTTCACTGATTAAGGGGATTTGGTTGCCATTTCAGGACTGAGTAAGATACATAACATGGTGATAAGTAACTAGAATGTCCTGACACTTCCTGTGAGAACCACTTCCTTGTTGTGGTGTTGCATTAAAGCCCCTGTTTCGCTTTCTCAGAGTTGGTGTGCTGGAGGACGACTTCACTTGCTTAGGGCTCCTGTGTGCTATATTCTTCTTCCCCATTGGGATCATCTTCTGCCTTGCGCTGCGCCAGAGGCGATGTCCAAACTGTGGCGCCACCTTTGGGTAGAGGGACCAAACTGTGGTTTGGGCATTTCAGATTTTTTTTTCTCCATTTCATCTTCTACTACACACACACTGCCATATGTTTCCCAGAGATTCAAAGCAATATGATCAAGCAGTTTCTGATGAGCAATGTACCATCAGAAGTCTGTATTTAGATTAAAATTACCTGTCAAATTCCTAGCTGTTTGTCACTCTGTTTTGGTGCCTTAGTGATCTGAATCATTCTCTTCCCCCATCACAGCTTACCGGAAATATGGGATAAAAAATACATTTCAGAAATGATTCGCGTATATTTGCAGTTGGACTTACTCACATTTAATCCACCCTAAGAATAAATGTAACTTTCAGCTGGCTGCAGCTGGAAGAAATTCTTGAAGGTTTTTTTTTTTCCCTCCCTGTGATTCTTCTGTTGCTATGGCAACCTTCACTCTGTGTTTTTGACGTTTTAGGGATCAGTACCACTTGCTGGACTTAGGTGGCATGTCTGGCTGCGTCTGTCTTCCTTCAGCCCAGCCGGGTTGCTTTGTGCCCAAATGCCATGAGATTGTTGAGACAAAATGAGAGAGAGAGACCAAATCTTGCAGAGTGGCTTTCAGCCTCTGTCTCATTTTCCTTCTGTATGTTGCTGCTAGGGCCTCGCTGGTACCTACTATCCTTCCTCTCAGGATCACATGGTTGTGATGTTTGGAAAACAAAACAATCACACAGCAGTATTAACCTCCTCTCTGGAGTCATTCTGAGTTCATGAATACTCTGCTGTTCCATATTACCTCTCGATGCAATATGTATTTACATTAATCACCCTGTAAGGAAAGTACACACTGTTATGAATGTAATCCTGTTTATATGAATGTAAATATAATAAAATGAAATTGTATCCACAGCCTTGACTTCAGAGTACTTCAGTTTTATTTTGGATTGTAGATGGAAATTTGTGCATACGTGTTTCATCTGATTGAACTCTTATTGAACTCAAATGTATAACTGTAACTTGGTACTAGATCCTTGAAATTGCTGGATGTGAATTTATTTTATCTTTACAACAAAAATGTTTACAGAATGCCAGCCTTCAAAAGTGTCCCCAGTTGTGCCATGGTAAAGTTTCATACACAGATTAGTTTAAATGTTACAATGTGCAAACAATGGAAAATAGAACAGTTAGGAAGACAAATGATTTCTTCAATAGACAAAACTGAACAGTCTGCATCATCCTTAAACGGGCTGCTTACAACCACTCCTCGTTTCACAACAAAGTTCATTTTCAACAATCAGGTTAAGTAAAAATCACGGTAGCTTTGGCCTGACCGCGACTGTGTGCATGACTTCAGTCCTCCATACTCAATTTCCTTTATCCTTCAAAAAGTGGACATTAACATTTTGTAAATTCTACTTCAAATATCTCCATCACTCCGGCAAATATGGTCATAAATGCTTGCATTGGTTGATTTTTTATTTTTTTTAAATTGACTAACGTATTTGCCAGCGGTCACTGACCAAGGTGGTTGTTAAACAGGAAGTGGTTGTATTTGTTTTATTAGACAGCGTAAGAGCATTTGTAGTAGAAACACCTCAAAGGACATATTTCACAAATGCATATCCTGATACAATGTTACCAATAAGCGATCACTGCAAACTACACTGAGTGGCTGCACGGGTTCCCCAAAGGTCCAAGAGGCATCGCACTACTACAGTAGCAACAATGGACTCACACAGACAGAATCATGTCCCATTTTGTACACATTCTTCAAGGGTCTTATCGCTGCTACAAGTCAAAAGCAGAGATAGATCTCAACCGATGCCACTGTAAGACAAATCGCTGTATAGCGGTTGTGTTAACAGGGTGAGGTGATGGCTGTGTACAATTAACAAGTGTGATATGTAGAAAATATAAATCTATATTTAAAAGTATATAAATAATCTTTCTCCCTAAGTCAGATTGAGCATGCACAGTCTGAGGTGTACATGTATCGAATATAAATAAAACAGGAATACAAATACAAAAATTCTATCGAACACTCTGTAATCCCGCCCAGTTCAGCATCACTAAAGTAGCCTGAACTCTCACCAGCTACCAGGGTTTTGGTGCCACCCTGAAGCCTCAGGAACTTGATGACGTTTGCTGCAATAATGCAGTAGATTTGGGGTGTTGGTCCTGCAGCCTCTGATCTTTAAATGACTGGAGCTGATCTGTCGTTGGTGACTGTTGGCCGTAGTTTGACAGTAATAAAGGGATTCCCTCCCCTATGAGGTCAAAGAAAAAGTGTTAAGAGCCAAGCATTCCGGCAACGAGGCCAGTTAGAGTCAAAACATTTTCACATTAACGTTACTTACGCCAAGAAAGGGACTTTTGCAATACCATTGTGCTGTGACTCCTGAAAAACACATAAATATGGCAGAAATATCAGCTGGATACTACCTATTATGACTGACATAAAATACTAGCCTTTGAGGCGAAAAGATTAGCTTACACGCTAGTTTTGAGGACAGAAACCTAAGCATAGATGCTATCGTTTGGACAAACAAGCTAGGAGTGGCATCATCTGATTGGGTGGAAAGTTTAACTACTGGTCATGGGCCATATTGTGCAAGTTTCAACTATGCATAAGCAAGACTGTCTAGTCACAAGATGCAGAGCAGAAGGAATCCAGACCATCCTGAAATGCCACCCCATTCCATCTTTTGTTTTGTCTACATACTACATTGGAACAGTGTCTTATATACACACACAAAGAGTTTAACTGGAAAAGAAGGTCTGAGCTTCTTTTACTTTTATTGAAATCTCATACATTTTAGCAGAACTCATATAAAAAAGGGGTGATTTTTCACTCATGGGTCTGATGTGAGCTCTTGACACAATGATATTAAGTAAACTTTGAAATCTTTATGTATGCCCACCGGACATGAACACACGCACAGACTCGTTAAGAAATGGCTTTGCAGAGCTGTTAGCCAACATAGCCACTAGGGGGCAGCAGCGTCTTACGGGAAGTGAGGCTACACTGCAACCTGTGGAAAACGGCCCGTTTTACCTTCAACGGGGCCGACACCCTAGGATCTGTGGGGGAGGCCGTGGTCCTTCTGACGTCACACACAGACGGGGATGTGGGCAGGTGAGCCCAGGTCTGCTAGGTGGCGCTATACACCTCTCACCCCCTCACCACCAAGGAAAACGTAACAGTGCAAATGCTCACCACCCACTCTTTCAACAGAGTTCTTAGGAAGTGGGAATAAGGAAGTGCTTTTTATTGTTTCCCTGTTTGTTTAGCTGGAGTGTGTGTTATGCTGGATTTCCCCTGAAAAGCAGCAAAGTAAATAAAGCAAATAAATCTGCATACGATGATGATGATGAACGGTCATACCCTCAGCAGACGGTACCTTGTCTCCCCAAACTGACACGCACAGCCTGTGGCCCCCACAGTCACCCATGTTATACTGGGCCGCAGCTCTGGCCGATGGCTTTGAACTTGTGGAAACGTGATGGACATAATCGCTACTCTGACGCCCGCGGCTGATCCGGCACGCTGACCCAGGACGTGAATTAGCACACTCCTAGTAGCCTGCTTCAGCGAGGCCTTATCTGCATGCCCTCCAGGGAACCAGCAGTGAGGGGTAGGGAGAGGAAGGGGCCGGCATGCACTCTGACCGTGTTTTCGGGGTAGGGTGGGGCCGGAGGGTCTGAGGCAGCCCTGCTGGTTGCATCGCTGTAGTCTGGTGGGGGGAGTAACATGTCTGAGGGGTCCAGCTCAGTCAAGTTGACCACACTTTTACTGCGTGCCGGCTTGTCTGGCCTGTAGGTGGGTGGGAGGGGCCAAAGGGGATGGGGGAGGGGCCAGATGGGTGGGTGGAGGAGGGGCCGGGTCAGTCACCCTGGAGCACTAACCAATAACAGCATTAACAGTTCACGGCGCCAGACATCCCGCGTTACCTGGTGCTGGTGGACGGCTCTGTGTAGGGCTGGCAGTAGGAGGAAGGAAACCAGCCCCTCCTGCGGGACACAAACGTGAAGAAGCGTCACACTGTGAACTTGTGCGGCGCGCGGCTCAGCGGGATTGGATCGTGTTCCCGCGAGCAGAAGGTTTTCAGTTCAAATCCTGGAGTCGGCAAAGTGTTCTCACTTTTGAGTCCCTTAGCGAGGCCCGTCACCCCCAGGCTGACTCTGCTTTCTCAGGGTTTCGCATGTGTTTGGCTTCGGATAAAAGCTTTTATTAAATCAGTGTTAAATTCTCTAACCCACCCACACCTACCTTATCCCATACTGAAACCCTTCTGTGAGCAGTAGGGGGCAGTACAACTATATCGTGCAGGGAAACGACGCTGCGACTGTGGCGGAATTGTCTTCTGGGTGGGGACCCTGCTGTCTGGAACCCCCGCCCCCCTCAGATGGGCTTTCCCAACCAGATTCATGGCGTCCTCAGCTGCGGTTCGAGGTGCAGGGTCACACCGCCGCCGGCCCTGCCTGCCTGGGCCAAGCGGTAAACACTCACTGCTTGTTCTTGTCCAGCTCCCCGTACAGCCAACCGTCCTTCTCGTCTGGGATGAGCAGAGTGATGATGGCGCCTTCCTGGAAGCTCAGCAGAGTCTCGCTGCCCTCCCCCGTGTGTGGGAAGATGGTACGGACCTTGGGTCGCTTCAGCAGGTTGAGACCGGAGGTGAGGGAGGTCGACCGGGGGAGGCTGCCCTCCTCACGGCCCGCAGGTTCTGCAGGAACAAGGACTCAGCACACTGGCCTGGACACCAAACCCCTGTATGACTTGGTGTCAAACAGTAAACCCTAGATAAACACGTTTAGATAAAATCAATGGTCTAACTAAAGCTTTTATTGTACAGTTACATTGCAATGTAATGACAGCAAAGTTATCATTTGCTAAACAAATGAGCTCAGTAGGAAGATAATGATTTTCTTCTTAGTTCCCTGGGTAGCATCATGATGAAAATGGGCAGTGATTGGAGAAAGACCTGCCTGCAGGACTCTCATCATTGGCCACGCCCTTTGGCGGCTTGAACATGTTAGCCAATGGGCTGACGTTGGCATTCATGGGCGGAGCTGGAGGCAGAGTCACTGTGTCCGAGGGGTTCTAACGCAACAGAGGCAGGAGGGAGTGATGTAATTATTATTTTCCTTCAGCTTCCTCATCACAATATACTCGCTGCTGCAAATGTACTCGTACTTTATTCCAGTAATATTAGCAAGACTATTAACACTGTTCCATCAATAATACTATACAGCATAATTTCTGTGATGCTGGCAATGATGAAGATAATGCAGATGAGGATGAGGAGGAGAACGCTGAACCCACCTTGTTGCTGCGGTTCATTACGGGTGATGGCTGGGGGGTGTACGAGACCGGTATGCGCAGTCCCTCGATTACTGCCATGATGTTGTCCGGCACGATGGTGGCGTCGCCGCACTTGTCCTGCCAACTCTGGACCTTCTGCAGGAGCATTTCCTCTGCCTGTCAGTCAGACAGCCCAGCAACAGCATCATAGCAACAGCGTCATAGCAACAGAATCACAGGCTAGTCAGCCTCTATCAGACTGCACAAAAAAAGCATCATAGCAACCGCATCGTAGCAAAAAGATCACTGACTAGGATGTGTCCATCAGACAGCATAGTAACGGCGTCATAGCAACCATGTCATAGCAACAGGGTCACAGAGTAGCCCGTGTCCGTCAGACAGCATAGTAACGGCGTCATAGCAACCATGTCATAGCAACAGGGTCACAGAGTAGCCCGTGTCCGTCAGACTACTGCAATAGCATCATAGCAACAGGGTCACAGACTAACTTATGTCCATCAGACGACATAAGAACCGTGTCATAGCAACAGGGTCGCAGACTAACTTATGCCCATCAGACGACATAAGAACCGTGTCATAGCAACAGGGTCGCAGACTAACTTATGCCCATCAGACGACATANACAGGGTCGCAGACTAACTTATGCCCATCAGACGACATAAGAACCGTGTCATAGCAACAGGGTCGCAGACTAACTTATGCCCATCAGACGACATAGAAACCGTGTCACCATCACTGACACGCCCTCACTTTGTGATGGAAGGCGCTGAACTGGTAGGTGAGGGTGCAGTGCTTGTCGACCAGGAAACAGAACCTCCTCTTCTCCTCCAGGAGGGCCTCTTTGCAGCCGTCCGCTACAAAATTCTGCATCTCCATTTGTCGAGAGGTCAGAGTCTCCGCACACTGTGGGTAAGAGCCAAGCAGACAGCGTGAGTGTCACTCTGATGCTGACCTGACCACCACTCGCACCACCGGGGACACCAGAAGTCCGTCTGTCATTAAAGGTCCCTTGTAACCTGTATATATGTAACATAATGAGGACCACATAGGGCATGATGTGCCAGACGTCACTGATTATTTATTAGGTGATTACAGCCTATAGCCATCCAAACACTAATACAAAGGACATCATCATGAGTGCATTTATAGCAATTGATAATACTCTCCAAAAAAAAAACCTTAATATGCCTACACATACATAATCTATGGATATATACTAAAATTATTCATACTGTGAATTCTTGAATCTGATTGATTAGTTTTCTATAACCGCGCATGTAGTGCCAGGCAAGTGAATCATGGTAGTAAATCAATGTGCTATTTTAATGTTTAATTCTAACCAACGTTACTTCAAATTCTAGAACAGCCTTTCATGTAACCTTCCAGGTTCACGTCTGCTTTTCCTTTGTAAGACATTATGCACGACCTAAGCAAAGCTGCCCCATCAAACGCAGAAAGCAGCCACTAGAGACGTCGGGCAGGAAGGGAGTGGCACTCGCTCGCGTGAGGAACCGTCTGAGCGTCTCCTAGCCGACAGCAGGGAAACTCCGAGCCGATTCTCTCTAAATTATAACCCCCCCTGTCTCTTCCTTTTTTCCACTGCAGGGTTTCCATGGTGAACAAGAGAAGAGCTGATTGAGTGAAACGTTGAGTCAGGGAGGTGCAGCGTAGACCAATCATTTCAAACAGACATGTCTCCTGTCGGTGATGGGGGTAAACTGGTCCCCATTATCCCCAGCAAAACCAGACTGATAATAAGAAATCAAGACATTATGTTGTAACAAAAACAATAGTTTTCTATGCATTTTGATAGATATCATTACTTAACACACCCCACAGAAAAATGCTTGAAAATTAGTACACGATTATAGCCGGACATCTTGGAAAGCAAAGCTGCCTGGCAGTCAGATTGATGTTTACGCTTTTTGTTATTTCCAAGGCTGCCAGCTGCCCAAACTTAGAGTCACTTCTACCCAAATTTGGCTGACCTGTAGGGATCTGATACACTCAAATGTGCCACATTTATAATGGAAGTGACATGGGTGAAATGGTCTGGAAAGCAGTTTTCCCGATGCCTGGTGGTCCTGGGTAATGGTGCTTAGCCCTACTACAGATCAATAGGTCAATAGATCCTTGCATGTAGTTATACAAAGAAATACGACGGAACTACACTTCCCATCATGCCTTGCGCCCGACAGGATCATCGTGAAAAGGACCGCCGACGTGTTTCACGATTCATGCTCACCTCATTCTCCTTGCTCTCGTATTTGGTGGCATTCTTCCCCTGACTCTTCCTGCGAAGCTTCTTCAGATCCATCTGGGATTTCTCCATTGAGTCCTGCTTTATTTTGTGCTCCATTTGGTACCTCTTGAATGTGGCCTGTGAGGGACACAAAGTTCTCTTTTAGGCCCCTTTGAGACGGGCCCACGAAAGCCACTGATGCTGGCGGGTCTTCCTCTCTAAAAGGGGACCGCCCATTCATTTCTATGGGAGAAACCCTCATCCCAATCACGACACCCTTAACCTCTACCCATCCCTAACCTTAACCATAAGTAACCAACCCAAATACAAGACTTTTGCCATTTTTACTTTTTGATTGCATTCACAGATTTTTATAAAGCTGAGGTTATCCAAATGGGGACCTCAAAAGATGTCCCTAAAAGTAGGGAAATTTCAGGTTTTACTACACTTTGGGGACAATTTGGTCCTCAAATGTGATCAATGCAAACACACACGCACACACACACCTGTACTCATATCTTTGTGGGGACTATTCGTTCATTTATAAGAGCAAAACCCTAATCCCAGCAATGACAGCCTTAACCCCCTCCCCCCCCAGCCTTAACCTTAACCATAAGTAACTAAACAAAATACAGTCCTTTGGCATTTTAAGATTTTTGATTGCTGTCACAGATTTTTTATAAAATTGAATTTCCCTTTGTGGGGACTGAAAAAATGGTCCCCACAACATCAAAATAACAGGTTGTCCACACAATGTAATACCTGGACCACACACATACACACACTCTCTCACTCTCCCCAAGATGAAGAAGAGTCCTTCACATTATCCTGTAAAATGCACTGGTGACACACGTGACTCATGCCAACTCACGTTCATATATTTTACATCCATGTCTGTCTTGCGTTCCAGCTCAGAGAGGATCTCTTTGTGGAACTTTCGGAACTGCAAGAGATGGGAACATGAGGAAATAGCTAAGAGACATAACGAGGAGTGCGGAGATGGCACACTGAGTAGGGCGAACACCTTTCACAGCAGCCTCTCCCTTCGTTAGCCTTCGTTTTAATGTTATTTCTGATAAATGCCATTTCGTTTCGGATGAACCAGTGACAGACCACAATAGACTGGCTGACACTAGGTGGACTGACGGTCACAAGACTCAGAATCTGCTTTTCGATCTTATGAATAAACAATGATTTATAATTACATTCTCCATTTGCATCGGTGATCTTGATACAAACTGAGGATGCAAATAAGGCCGAGGTTGACCGGCTACTGGGACGGGACTCAAAGCGGAATCAGGACCCTGGCAACTAAGAGCAATTACGGCAGTTCTGTTCAGCCTGAATAACTTGTGTTGCTGAAGTTTCCGGAGCCTGCTGCCCATATGTGTGCCTGTGTGTGTGCGTGTGTACTGGTGTGTGTGCGTGTGTACTGGTGTGTGTGCCTGCAGATGCCCTGGGGCCATCAGTCGGGCATGCTCAAACCTGTTCCCTATCACGCCAGATACAAAATAACCAAACAGCTGCACCTCATAGGTTGTTTGCTCAAGCCTTTTGTGTGTTTTTTTTCTTCTTTACTTTGGACCTCTGCATCATCATAAAGAAACGACCATTACTGTGGTCTGTAAATAGCTGCGGGGGTCTTTGCCATTGTGTTAGTTTTATTGGGTGGGGTGGATGGCCAGACACGGCGCGACTGAGCGCACACGGAAAACAAGGACGGCGCTTACGTTCTCCTCCAGTTCAAGGTGAACGTTCCGGTGAACCTCGGAGATTTCCATCAACACGACCCCTGTGGGGAAACAGGTTGTCGGTAGGACTTTAAAAGGGAAGCACCATTATGCAGACCAGACGTTCATGTTTTGAAACACGAATGAGAGAACAGGTACTGAGGAAATCAATAAACTTAATACGATTGTGGAAGACAAACCAGAAAAAGACTAGCCAACAGGGGACAAAGAGACAGACACATCAGGCTTGTTGTTAAGTGTTTGTTAACTGTACAGTTGCTAACACACAACATATCACTTAACAGCCACTGCGCAGCGAGCCCTGGAGTTCACATGCGCAGTGCTAGATCATTCCCAGGTAGCCCCTAGAGCCCCCTAATACTCCCCAATCTGCATAATCTGACATGTCGACCTTGAGCCTCTCGGCTAATAGGCCGCAACACAAGCCCAGCCCCTTCCTCTATGTCACTTCCTGTCCCCACTGAAGTCTGATGAAAAGGCAGGTGGAGGCGTGGCCACTGAAGAGGGGGCAGGTGGGGGCCAGCAGCTGGGCTATCCCAGCCAACCAATGTGTCGATGATGCATGAATTACTTAGGTAATTAATCATAATGATAAGTAAATATACTGACGAGTAACAAAGGTGCCAACACCACGGTGAGAGAGGCCACATGTGAAGGTCAACAATCTGCCCACACATACAGATTCCCGTCGGACACAGATCTGAACTCTCCTGTGATAAATGGGCTGAACTTTGAGTAAGTAAACAGTGTGGCCTTGATCCACATTTGCATTCTGCTCGCGGCTCAGTCTGCTTTGCGTACGCAGCTCGCCGCTGGCACGGATGCGAGGTATCTAGGCAACGGACAGAGCCCTGCGCTGCTACCAGTGATCGACCGAAAGGTATGCGAGTGTGCATCTCTCCAAATGTACTGCAGAGGGGCTCAGGTAGCAGGCCCTGACTGCCAGCGTGTTACATTAAAACAGAACCGACCCAAAAATAAATAAATAAAAATTACACCTTATAAATATTTGCCTAATATCTTTTCAGTTCCACCTAACAATAAGGGAACTAAAATGTTGAACCAAAACAACAGCAGAGTCACGCATTACATTTCGAATAAGACAAAAAAAAAATACAGTGTTAATTAAATCAAGACTAGCATTCTTAAATCACACAGTCGAGCCTTTTTGTCCAACATGTGCCAGTGATGATCGGCAGCTGGAAGGCCGCCCACGAGCAGTGACTGCTGGGGGGGGGGGGGGGGGGGTTTGGCCACATCAGGGTAGCTGGCAGAAAGCCAGAGAAAAAGACACGGTTGCTGACATCACATTGTGTCGACTGAGGGGAATTACGGCGTTACAGCATTACTGCCCTGCTTCCCGGCAGGGTCACGGTTCGATACCCCGACACGGACAGCAGCGGTGCGGCTACATGGCGAATGTATCTGGCTGTGACAGATACAGGGCCGGCTTTGTGTTTACACTGTAACTGACCTTTATTTTCCTGGCAGCAAAGAAGCCATGTGACATATATGGCCGCACAATTTCAAAACATCTGCCATGTGGCACCAGCAGAGTTGGGTAATTCATGTCCAGAGTGTAAAAGTCCAGATCCGGATTTTGTTTCAACCGACCAGTGGAGTACTCTGTGACTGTGACTCTTTATGCGCAACTGGTTGGTTGAAACAAAATCCCAGTCTGGACTTTTACTCTCTGGACCTGAATTACCCAACTCTGGGCACCAGTGGCAATCGCCCAGTTATGAACAAGATCCGTTCTCTAATTCTAAGTCAAATTTGTAGGTAAGTTGGAACAAGTACATAGAATTCTTACTTAGCATAAGTCAGTCATGTTTGTCTTAGTACTGAGTATATGTTTACTATACGACACTGTACTGTACCTCGAGCCGCACAATGATTTTACAGGCCTCACAAAAGCAGCACATGTGTTTGCTATTACAAACCATTGTATTTAAGACGGATGTTTCATGTGATAGGCTTTATGGCAGTTTGTTCGTGAAGTTGTCCGTAAGTCATTCTTATCCTGGTGACTGCTTGTAACTAACTTATTATTTATTTAGTTTTTTATTTTTACAAATATATAACATGGACTATAAAACAATAACGCGTTTAATCTGAAATCTCAACTATGATCCTATCATCTGCAGATGAGAGATGTATAGAGGATGGGTTGACTATCAGGCAGAGCCAGTGAGAAACGTACAGTATATGTGTGTCACACACCCACTGAGCCAGTGAGAGACGCACAGTCTATGTGTGTCCCCCACCACTGAGCCAGTGAGAGACGCACAGTCTATGTGTGTCACGCACCCACTGAGCCAGTAAGAGACGTACAGTCTATGTGTCAGGCACCCACTGAACCAGTGAGAGATGTACAGTCTATGTGTGTCACACCCATTGAGCCAGGGAGAGACGTACAGTCTATGTGTGTCCCCCACCACTGAGCCAGTGAGAGACGTACAGTCTATGTGTCCCCCACCACTGAGCCAGTGAGAGATGTACAGTCTATATGTGTCACGCACCCACTGAGCCAGTGAGAGACACACAGTCTATGTGTGTCACACACCCACTGAGCCAGTGAGAGACATACAGTCTATGTGTGTCACGCACCCACTGAGCCAGTGAGAGACGTACAGTCTATGTGTGTCACGCACCCACTGAGCCAGTGAGAGACGTACAGTCTATGTGTGTCACACACCCACACCCCGTGGATTTTGATGGCCGACTTTGGCTCCCCGTCCAGCAAGTTCTTTCCTCTCTGTAATGTCAGGCAGAGCCATTCTCAAGGGAGCTAGCTTGTCAATTACTGGAGGTCTACCAACCGAGCGAGAAAAAGCTAAGGTCTGTCTTAGAGGTGCTCACACAAGCAGAAGTGAGCTTTGTTAGCAAAGTTGGTGCTGTGGCAGTGATCTAAGCCTCGCTTTCCACAGAGTCGTCTTATCGCTGACTGATACAGGGACGCCGTAATGAAAACACAGCACGGCTTGGGCTCCCATATCAAAAAACACATAAAAGGCAAAAGTCATGTGTTGCTGATATTAGCCTTGGCGTAAATAGTGATAGTTCTAGACTGGTGCCATAACTGAAATCCCGGGACCCTGAGAGTTCTTACATCTGTCCATTAGCTTTGCGCTAACATTCACTGCCAATTTTGTCTTATTATGATGTGCGGCGGACAAAGGGCCAAGAGCTATAGAGCAGGAGAAAATGTGCCGTGGACGTCAGGCAGCCGCAGTGCTGACACGGTAGATGTTTGTATGTGAAGGTCATCGACACAGAGCCCTTTGGTCGGCGATGGTCGTCAACACTGAGCCCTGAGACAGCGAAGGTCATTAACGCACAGCCAAAGCACAGCGAAGGTCATTAACGCACAGCCAAAGCACAGCGAAGGTCATTAACGCACAGCCAAAGCACNAGCGAAGGTCATTAACGCACAGCCAAAGCACAGCGAAGGTCATTAACGCACAGCCAAAGCACAGCGAAGGTCATTAACGCACAGCCAAAGCACAGTGAAGGCTGTTGATATCCAGAGATATATACTCACCTAGCTCCCTGGAGACAGGGGAAATTGCAGCATTTTCCCCAATCTTTGAAACAGCATCGAAGTACGTCTTTCCGGCCAAGGTCATGGCTGCGAGAAGGGCGAATAGGAAGAGGGGTGTTTCTCTGAGTCCTAATTACACACATCACCAGTAATAAAAGGCACAAATCTGTCTGGCCCCATTGCCCTCATAAAGTGACAGCTTTCTCTTGCCAACCAGATACCTGTGCTTGAGTTTCATGATGGGCTGCATGGGGGTGTTAAATTTTACAGAGTAATAAAAACAAGCCATTTTTACAATGCGACAAACAGAATAATGTACTTTTACAACAGATGGTGAACAAACTCACATATATGGCAGAGCACTTCTGTATCAGTTAATAAATATCCGGTAACACTTTACATTAACTGCACCTTCATGATGCCTTTATAACGCATTCATAGAACATTCAGTGCCCCTACATAATACATTTATAGAGTATTCATAAGAAGCATGTAAGTATACCTTAATATCCTAACATACCTTAATATACACTAAAAACAAACATTATAATAATTTAATCTGAAAATGTTTCTTATTAATATATATTAAAGCTGTTATGGTATTTTAGGATGTTACTGTCATGATCTGCTCCGTCCGCTCCTGATGTGTGCCACGCCCACCTCGTTACCTCGTGTTCAGCCCTGATTGTGATCACCTGGGTCCTGTTATGTCTAGCTCGTCTTTTGTATTTAGTCCTCGTCTGAGTCCGTCTTCCCCCAGACTTGTCATTGTATTGTCCGTCGATGTCCATCTTTCGTGCAATAAACCCGCGTTTACCTGAATTCCTGGCTGCTCTCGCCTACTTCCCTGCTCGCCTCCAAGCCGAACGTGACAGTTACGGTATAGATACATGCTGACTATGAGTGTTCTATAATTGCATTATGAATGCATTATGATGATGAGTTCACTGAATGTTCTATTAATGCGTAATGAATGCTTCATGAAGGTGCAGTTAATGTAAGGCGTAACCAAGAGCTTACAGACTGTATACATGACCTATAGATACAATAGCCCATAGCTCTGCAGGCACATTGAAGGACCCTGGAGTACAGGTGCAACAGTCGAAGGGTCATCCTACCAGACGCAGCCTTCTCGTAGTTCTTCCCCAGGTTGATCAGGTTCCGCAGCCCTGGGTTGAACTGTTCCATGACATTCTGCAAGGACATGGGAGAGGATATCATGCAGGAACAATGGTCAGCATTTCCTCCTACATGTTCCCAGTGGGGTCACAGCTGCTTATACGGGCTTGCTAGCAGTAACACTGTCAGAAAAAAGGGTACAGCCTAGGTACAGTTTTGTACCCCAAGGTACAAACAACATTAATATACCCCAATGGTACAAAAATGTTCCCTAGTGTCCCTTTCTGTACCTTGAATTATGCTAAAAGGTACATTTACCTACAGCTAGGGTACACTTGGCAGATCCTTGAAGGTACAGCTCCAGTGATGAGTAATTGTACCCTCAAAGGTACAAATTGGTACTAATTTTCCTGACAGTGTACAGGTGTTTAGCTTACAGGAATTGCAGATCTTCCCCATCCATATGCTGTAAAACTGCAGGAATTAACAAAATTTCACACATATACATATCCGAATGTCTTCACTCTTTAAATATCAATCAATCAATCGTTAACAAAATAGATATTTTAAATTGGGGATCATAAAGGCCACAACAAATAACAGATTAATACTCCCACTCAGACTGAAACAAACAAACAATCTCATTCTTTGACTGCCACGGCAATGGTCTGGTGACAAATGGGGACGATATTCTGTGTGACCAGGCCCAGCTGTTTTTAAATAAAGCTAACAGAAGCCACTTTGTGTAAAGAAGCAGCAGCATAAAAAGGGAGAATGACCTGTCTCATATTTCAGGAAGGAGTCACCTATAGAGGAAGACTGTGGGATCAGAAAGTACAGCAGCAGGCAGAATGAATGTAAGACCAGGCATTTAACTTCTGAATATGGGTGGCAGCTTTTTCAGGATAAAGGTTTGTAACCTGAATGTGCAGTTAGTAGGAAGGACTCTTTTGTTCACTTATAAAGTCCATAACCTATACCGTCCTGAGATCCGGGAGGGAAAATGCTGGTGGAATGGTAAAAAGCACCCCTCCCCCAATACATGTGATGTCATAACTGCCCTCTTTAAGGAACAACAGGACTTAACAGAGTGGTGTAGACGTAGGAGCAAAAATGAGAGGACAAAACTGAATTGCTGGATCTCTGGACATGTCTCTAGTGGAATAAAACTATTAATCATTAAAAAAAAAAACAATAGTACAAATAAATATATGTTATTCATTAAAAAGCCAAACCTCAGAGTACAGATGATGTGTGTTGAAATAAAAATGTTAATAATTAAGCTGAAGTTTCTTAATTACAGAAATTCAGCAGTCTTGTTGGGGGAAAAAAGGGGTCTGTCTGTCAGGGAGAATCAGAAACTTCGAGATCGCATGTAAAAATGTGCTCTTCTGTCATACAACGGCTGCATGAACAAACAAGATTCAGCTTAGTGACAGCTTCAACTAGGACGTTAAAGTTCTTTCATAATGCTTTCATATAAATTAGTTTTCTTTACTGGTAACATGCAAACTTAGGATGTTAACCCAGGGAAACACAGGTCCTTGTCAGTCTAAGAACGGTTGAAGTTGGTCAGCCAAGTACATAAGTGTGTGAAGCAGGTCGCAATTACATTTGACAAGGAAAAGATCAAGATATACATTTCTTTGTGGCTCTTTCTCCATAAAATTATTTAGAAGTTGAGAAAAAAAAAAAACTCACAAGCAGTTGTGTCCAGGACAAAGATATTAAACAGAGCTTGCAGGTCTTTTAAAAATTCTCAAAATAAAAACATTGTTTACTGTTGCAAATTATTCGGTCAGCTGTGGTTCTGTTCTACTGTTATATTCAAGGATAACCCTGCACTATGCACAGAACTGGATGGACATTTCACATACATGAAAGTGCCACTCTGTTTCCATGGAAACTGCTCATATGTCAACTCTTGAGTTCTGTGAGATTAAACCCTCTACACTCTGAATGGATGAGACTCCAGGTCTGACTACACCTTAAGAAGCTCTAAAATGAAAAGAGACAATTAAAAGTGATGTTTTAAAGAAGGTTTCATAATTTGAACTTCTCGAAATGCACCTGATCTCATTCACAACTTCCCCATACTTCTTCTGGTAGGGTAAGACAAGCGCTGTATAGCCTATATACTTATGGTTAGATCAGTAGATGTTAAATGTATTCGCAAAGCTAATTCACGTCAGTCAGGTCATTTTTTTCATACTCAGAATGTTGACAACATGGAAATAGTCATCAGCACAGTTTACGTATAGTGACACGCCCTTTTCCAGGTACTTGGTTTCAGTTCAGATTAATTAAGATCGCTGAACGAAGAGCCGAAGGGAATTTGAAAAAGAACAACCCGTGACATATGTTGCGTTCATGTGCGCCTGAGCTTAAAATCACGGTGGGGTGGTGTTGCGAGTTCATGCGCAATTCTTCCTGTCCCATCGTGTTGAAACTGGGTGTGTCACGGGAACCAGTTAGGGCTTTAGTGGGGAAAAAGACACACCTGTGATCGCTGCGTAAGCCTGCTGTCGGTACCTATAGGCCTACTGTACCAATCATTTGTTAAATGGCGAAAAGAAACAATATTAAGTGTTTCTACCCCTTCCCTCCCAAATAAACACCTTGCGCCTGACAGCTTGTGTTTTAAATTAATAGCACTTCTCTTACAAGTAACGACAAATGCTGAGTAAAGTTTAAGTTTAAATTTGAACACAATGTTCACTACTGTCGATCTCTTGGTAGGCCTAATTCTTAATAAATAAAACGAACCAGTGGCCTAATTAGATTTAAAATTACACAGAACTATAAAATGATGCCAATGTATGACAATGTTCGATGACATTCCACTGGACAAAATGACCAATTTTCGCTTGATCACCTTACCTTATATGTACTTTCTGTAAGCTTGTTAACTTCTTCTGGATTCCTGGACATGTTTGTGTCCTTTGACGTTCTGGTTTAAAATCAATTAAAAGCCTCGATGGATATAAACACCCACCGAAAGAAATCAAAAACAACAAAGCCGTCGTACTAGTGCATCGATATCTCAACGACCATGGACCGGACACACTTGTTACTGCTGAATGACTGTAGCCCAAACGCAGCCCACAAGACTCCAGACGCAGGTGGATGTGGGGACTCACCGCCACGAGTGTCGAGCCGATTAAACGCTGAACTGTCAAAGTGGTGCGTGTGACGAGGCAGGAAAGGTAGGATGAGACACGTCACGCCTCCCCGGCGCAGTCCGACAAGGTGAGTTCTGGCTAGATCTCGGCACTTGGCGCTCCCAGTAGGTAGCAAAATGAGTTCCTTCGTCCTGAGCTTCCTCAAAATATTGACATTGTGTTTTTCCATTTCTCCCCCACATTTTCTAGCCATTTGAAATAAATCCACAAGGATAGACTAGATTCAAACAATAATAGAACGGCAGCAGAATTATATTGCTATAGCATATAATACTTTATATTTCTTAGATGGACAAATAATATATTTGCATGCATAGTGATAAAGTTACAGTAGTTCTTAGGGAACCATAATCGCGCCATGGATACTCCATTCATCGATTTCTGTTCCGCATTTTTATTTGCGCGTTGCGGTCGCCACTGACTTGCTGCCTGAAAAAATGAGGTTTTCCTTCCTCTCTGGCACTCTCTCAAAGGCTCTGAAGATTAATTTCAGGAATTATCTATCTGGGATTCCAGCATGTGTTTTGCTTGCGTTAAAGCTGTGAACACGTGTGCTTCACTAAAGATAACACATATTATGCACACCCAGACTGCGTTTGTGTGCGTTTAAAGACAAACACCGGGGATCAGAGAGCCAATTATCAATCGTTCTTTCGTATGGCTAACGTGCGTGCAGTACCGCCATCCCGCGGCCATTCTGATCGCTCCGTAGCTGAAACGAGGGGCTGTCGTGCACTTTCACTCCTCGCGCGACAGCAAAGGAAGGCAGCGAATGTGCGCTCGAGATGCGCGTGTTTCCATTTTGTATGTAGACACAGCACTCCCGAATTAGTAATTCATTTTCTTTAGGCAAAACGCCCAGTCTCCCGATGATGTGTGAGACAGGTACACACGTGACCTTCCAGAAATGCAGAGCTTAAGACCCTTGTAACAAAAAACAGTCGAAACCTGTTCGAACAGCTTTTTTCCACTGAAGGCCCTGATGAACAGAGGCTTGGTGATAGAGTCATCATCCCATGATCACAATGCGTTACAAAAATGAGTCTTTCACATTTCACTTTCTCATTTGGTGAGGCGCCAAATTATATATATAAAACAGTGGGATAAACACATTATTTATTCAATGTTGTACGTAATGCACCCTTTTAGCTGCCTTATGTCCTCGTTTGGCTGGTTAGTGCATGGCCTTTTTCCGTAAAAGCTCTTGCTGATCCGGAGTTCAGGGCTTGTAGTTTCCTCGAACCTGCCATTCTTGTTTATCTTGTGTAGGCAACAAAAGGACCACGTCCACCAGCAGACCTGACAGAATCTAGACTATCAAAAACAAACACTTTTACACGCCTAGGTAAATTCAATGCAAAATGTAAATGCAAAATGCGTGTGCTTCTGTGTACCATTTTAAATGGTTTAGAAACATCTCATGAAAGCCATTTGTTCAAACTATATGTCTCCTTAAAAAGTTTTGTGTGCACATTTAAGCAATCTATGTAATATTTAAGAATTAAATGGGATAAAACATGAGATGAACCTCTCAATTCCTGAAGTGCTTTTTCAGGTGAAGTGGAACAGCTCTTCTGCTAAAGTGGGACTGAGGTTTTTTTGTATAGAGGCAACATATACTTTAATTGCACAAATAAATTCATTGTAGCATTTTGTTCACGAGATCCAATATAACTTAAAATAAACAATTGTGTTCTTGTAATTAATATCTTTAAATCTCCATGAAACATTCCCTTCTTATTTTCGGCTGATCGCGATTGACCGGTTCGTCACCAATAACGTAATAATAACGTATTGTCTTTTTATCGTATCGCGATCTACCTAGAAACACTGGCCGATCGCGATCGACGAGTTAGGCACCCACGATCTACATTATTTACATGTAAAAATGTGTCCCATTTAACCTGAAAAGTATTGTCCCAGTTTTACTGGCACCTTCAGCAAAAGTGGGACAACACTAAAGACAAAAGCAAACAAAAACTAATATATTTTTCAAAAATGTGCTTTATTTTTAAAACAACACCCAGCCCTGTTTTACTAAAATGCAACATCTTAAGCAATATACTCCATATGCTATCCAATATGCTTCCACCAGCCTTATCTCTCGAAAGAGTTTGTCGTTTGTCGGTCCACTTGCCGTGCGGTTTCACACCAATGAAAACTGGAGACCAAGCCCTATTGAAACGTGATTTCAGCACTGTTTGTTTTCATTGGTTGTTGATTTTTTTTTTTTAAAGTAGCATAGGGCAATGCTTAAACGTCCCACGTTATCCGATGTAGGATCAGTAATGAGAACCATCATACCTAACACCTACAATTCCAAAAATGTGAACAGATAGATTAAAGTTTATTAGTCCGCTATCTCCTCTGAAAATCTGCATCTCTACATCTACAATGGTCTGACAACTATCGTAATGCTTGGAAGGCAAACAAGGCTGGCCGGGCGTGATTTTCCGAAGATATTCAAAAAGCACCATATTTTTCCCGCACAATTTTTACGAAATAAGTCCCTGTACCTGCTGAAAAACTTGATCTCTAGATTAGTGGTTCTCAACCTTTTTTGCACCACAACCTAATTTTCACCATGCCAGCTCGGTTGCGACACTATTTTATTGTATAGGTTTAAATTAACGCTATGATCAAGTGCTTAGTGCAATTTACGCCAATCAATGCCTATTGCACAAATCTGATTGGACGCGCCAGTGAATTTTAAATGAAGTATCTGTGGTTTGGCTTCTTGGATTGGTTGATTGGTCACTAGTTGTGTGCTAAAAAGCTACAGACCCATAGGTTAATTGTAGTATTGGGGCTGGAAAATCTGATCGTGGATCAGCACATGAGCTAGCTGGCTTTAAAATGCTTACATTTCTAACTTCGCCTCGCGAATTGCTGCCCTAGATAACCTAATACTGTTTGCATATCAATTTCTATTATTTGACAGCCAAAACTGCCTCACTGCCAACTCTGATGAAATATAATAATAAATAATAATAATAATAATAATAATAATAATAATAATAATTTTCCTGGGGAGGGTTGTAGTGGCATGATGTCGAGCAGCTCAGACCCAATGTCCTTTTCCATAGCCACAAATTCCGGTGTTCTGTCGATTTATGCTGCTTTGTCGAAAAATGCTACCGATAGCCCTAACCCTAACTCTTACCCTAACCCCAACCCCAACCCCCCCTAAAACCCTTACCTTAACACTAACCCCTAAAACCTAACCCTAATCCCAAGACGGTGGAACTGCACATGCGCAGAAAAGCTCCATAGCACGTCTCGATAGGTAGGATATTATGACAGAACACCGGCGCATTTACAAGGCAGCTGTCCCCAATGTATCCTATAGGTGGTTTCTGGGGCCTCCACCCAGTGACCCTTGCCTGGACCAGCTCAATTGGGTTTGTCTGGCCTCTCTTCCACTGATCCTTTCACCAAAGAAAGCCACATAAGCCAAGGAGCTCAATCTTCAGGTGACATCGCTCTGTGGATCGTTACAGCATGCAAACCCCTCCGCATCGCTAAGGTGACGATTGATTTTTAGAAATTATTGATGCTACGAATTCGTCTTTAAAAATCATCTTGATATGTCACATTTAGCTACTTCTTAAACTACAATTCATTTGATGCCAGCAGCTACCGAATTACTGCTACCTCTCTTGTGTATTACTAGGCGATATTTGCACTGCCATCTAGTGGGTAATTTGAATGTTTATCTTAATAGTGGCACCCAGGAGTACTATTTCACTTCAGCAATAATAATGCGTTTCTCTGTCATTTTAGATTAACTGACACTGGATAATCCAAACCCTCTGGAAAATGTAATATTACCCAAACCAAAAATGGTGAAAGCATATTTGTTTAACAGTGTAAATCAGAAAACCGGTAAGGGTGTTAGCAATCTCTTAGCAAGGTCTATATACGTGGGTGTAGGAATTTAGTTGGAATATGTTGCACGTTAGCTTTCCTGTGTGACTTTTTTTTTTAGTTGTTTTGTGTTGATGCCCCCACAGTCAAGCCATCCTAATGCCAAGCCTGACGCAGTTAAACATTACTTAGTTTAGACTTCGTTGCTTTTCTTTGACCACTTTCAGTGTTCTACTGGCACTTTCGTACACGTGTGAAAATGTTTGTTGTTTCTTTTAGAACAAACGGGCATTTTAATGTATACCAGCACTGAAACAAAATACAGTATACATGTATGTAGAATGCATATTAAAATCACTTTGTTTTCAGAGAGATGTTGCGTTTTTAAATACCATATCGTAGTACTTTAGCAAGGTTATTATTTTCACGTCCTCTTGGTGGCGCTGTAGGGCAACATTTTTCCTGCGGCGTAGCCGAAATTCCGCCTGAGCCATTTCATGAGCGGTCAGCGGATGTCTATGTGCAGAGTCTGCGCTGTTAGGATGTTTTTGAAACAGGGAAAATGGCCTTTTAGTGTATAAACACGACTCAACCGTGACTCATCACCGTAATCCTGCTCAGTACGGGAAATATTGTGGGCTAGAAGGTAAAAAGAGGAATGCGGGACATCGTGTACATATGTATGCGAGAGCCAGCAGCCTCGGGGAAAGGCCAGCACTTAATGTTTGTGCCGGGCGTCTAAATTGTTCTGAGACGCCCGTATACTGGTACTGTTTACAACGATAGCGGTTCTTTACCGGAACACTACACCTCTGATAGAAAATCAATATACTTGTACCTTTACCTGATAATCTAACTCCACACATGCCAAAAACATGGAGTCTTGTGGGCTGCGTTTTTGAAATGTCCAATAGAAATGGTGGGATTTACTGTACAAGTACATTTGTAATATGAAGCAGGTAAATGGAATTAAGAAAAAATGGACACGCGAAATGTCAAGTAAAACTTCTGAACCAGAAATTTGAACTTTAATCTTAAGCCTTTTCAAACTTTTTCAACCTTATGTGTTTTAGTTTCTTTTCTTTTTAACTTTTTTTCCTTCCATTTATAATTTGAAAGTTCCTCCGGTCGTCTGACAAACTGCACAGGCAGGACTGTCTGATATGTGTCTGTAGGAATAGAAAAATAAAAGATATATAAAGACGCTCCCCAGGTTGCGATGGGGTTGGGCTCCCCTAAACCTATCGGAAGGGGAAAACATCCTAAGATGAAGATGCATGTTAATACAGTGCACACAACCTAACAAACATAACAGCCTAGCCTACTGTGTTTAGAACACTTACATCAGCTTACACTTGGACAAAATCATTAGCACGCATCTTATTTTATAATTAAGTGATGGACATCTCAAGTAATTTATTGAATAATGTACTGAAAGTGAAAAACATTCACCTGTCGTGAAGTCGAAATATCGCGACACGGACCATCGTAACCCGGGGAGCGTCTGTTTATGGGCTACAGGTTATCATGGATACAGCTTCAGGTTTATCATTTGAAAGGAGGATGTTCAGGGAGAGAAATGCAAACTCACAAAGCTGCAGATTACAGAGGCAAGGTCTGAGAAAGTCTCGCCTCCCGTGCTTGTGCACTCGTGGTTGCAGGACTCAAGGACTTTCATCAATTAGCGCTGAATGAATAGACCTAGTTGTGAGAGGAGGCTAAACTGCTATTCAGAAACCATGTTCTCTGCTTTTCTTTGGTCCTGAACAAGGTTGCTTGCTGAATTTAAATTATGTATATAAGGCAGCTGACAATGAGGAACTGATGAAATTGGGACTGGATGGATTTTTAACACTTTGACACCTGTTCTGCATGCATAGGTTACAGGTTTAACCAGAGTTCTGCTGCTCAAGGCAGCATGGGGAGTTACTGTACCTAAGTATGGTTGCCAACTCACATGTGTCTGGCGTGACGCTCATGCAAGAAATCTTGTGGCAAATCTATATTATCCCATTATAAACCTAAAATTTACTGGTGTTGCAGATATTGATAGAGGCCTCCTAAGTAGAGTTTTAGGGCCCCTGAAAAGATAGAGTTGTGGCCCTTATGATGTATAGCCCTTAATTTCAGACTCTGTAGTCCTTGTATTCCATGTAATATGAAGCTTCAGTTTTTTGGTTCTCAGAATGCTTAGAATATTTGGTATCGCTTTATATTAAGTGCACCTTCATAATGCTTTTATATTGCATTCATAAAATGTTCAGTGCACCTTCATAATGTATTCATTAAGTTTTTATAAAACATTCATAAACATCACGTATACCTTAAGGCAGGGGTGGGCAATCTTATCCGCAAAGGGCCGGTGTGTGTGCAGGTTTTTGGGGTAACCTGTAGGTTAGCTGTTCAATCCCAGGTGTGAGGACTCGTCAGCCAATCAGTCCTCTAATTAGTAATCTACTTAGGGAGTTGCAGCGAAAACCCGTACACACACCGGCACTTTGTGGATAAGATTGGCCACCCCTGCCTTAAGGTATTACATCATGTAATACCTTAACATCCTAACTTGCCTTAACAGCTGTAATATACATTAATAACAAACATTATAATTGTATAATCATGTAATGTTTGTTATTAATGCATATTATAGCTGTTAAGGGATGTTAGGATGTTAAAGTGTACTTGTATGCTGCTTATGAATGCATTATGAAGGTGCACTGAATGTAAAGCGTTACTGAATATTTACCTGTTATAGTAACTATCTGAAAATGCTGGAATGACTTTAGCAATAAGTTTCCGCATGTATGAGAAACATCTGCTGAATAAGCATTTTGCAAAATGGCTATTTCGGGTCATTTACATCCAGCTTCCACAAAAGCAATGACCGTTTGGTTTAAGTATGTAAATTTCACAGTCAAACATGTTTTACCTGAAAAGGGAATGAATGGTAGGTGGTGCAGTGGTTAGTGCTGATGCCGCACCTACTGGCCTTCTCAACAATGACTCAATGGTTTATCAAAAAAAAACGTACAATTTACTGCAGTGACAGTGATCCCCCTGTCAGTGGTTTCTAAATATATGAAACGTCTAAAGAAAATGTGTTGGCGTGTTACACATCTACAGATGTCTGTACCTCTCCACACCCCAAGGAGAAAAGTCTGATAACCTGGATCAGGCTCCTTTTGATGTTGCTGGGAGAAAAGAATGTATTTATCCTTGGAAACTGAAGCAGAGAATGCAGAAAATATGACATAGGTGACCGTGTGTGTATTCCTGTGTATGTGTGCATCAGCAGGCATGTGTGTTTGAGAGGGCCAGACACGCTCAAACACAAGATACTAAGATCTCAGAATGTGCTCATGCAGCCACGGTGTGCAGATTTCGTCAGTGTGCGTGTGAGAGAGACACGTGTCTGGATCTGAGAATTCGAGTGTTTACAGAGTCGTTATGTCTGAAGGAGAGAGACACGCACACGACTTGGGAATGCGCTCACAGGGACTCTCCAGAGGAGCGTGTACCTGAAGAGGCCAAAGCATCACCTGCAGTGATGTCATCAGCCACTAAGCTGATTGGCTGTTGGAAAGGGGCAAGGCTCAAATCCCAAAGCTTTGTGTCTATTATTGCATCATGAATAACGTAGTGTTCTTTGCTTTTTTAAACATTTCTTCCATGGTTGTTTTTTTTTTTTAGTATCTTGCCATATTGTCTTGGGTGTAGCATGGAGCAGAATTACAATTTTCACAAGCTGTGCGTGTTGAGGGGGTGGTAATAATGAATATGGACCTACGAAGCTCCAAAGCCCATTGCTGAAAATGGCTCCCAGAAGCACCAGTATCTTAAGCCACAGTCTGTGATTCCCCCAGCTCGGGTGGGTAGGGGGTGCGGAGGTGGCAGAATCACCCACAATTTAGAGCCCATATTTCTGTTTGCTGCGTATTCTTCTCATGACTGCATGCCTTTAAATTATTAATCAAACATCGTTAAGAGGCATTTGGCGAACGCGGTGCGTCTTGCTTTAAAGGCAACGCTCTGGGGGGTGAGGAAGCTGAGAATGAGCCGCCACGTTAAATGTCAGGAGCGAGTCACCATTTTACGGCGTTATCTTGAACCTTCCCCTTGTGGCTGATAAATGCACCAGAACATGTGAGAACTTACACGGGGATCCCAGGTGCAAGAGCATCCTCACTAAGGAGGCAGTTTTGTTGCTTGGCGAGTGATTATTCCAGGTGCTTTGTTTACTAATAATGCAGGGCAGTAATATTTCAGCTCAGCTCAATTCAGGATTTTCCTACAAGCCCAAGAGAGCTGGACTTGCTGGCAGTTAAACCTGCATATGAGACTGTTGCATGACCAATTCCTCTAATAACTTTATTGAGGTTTTTTTTTTTTCAGCTTAACATTATGAACGTTCCTTCCTGTAACACTTTTTATTGTTGGAAATGGGCAGGCAGAAAACGAACCAGTAGTTAATAACTCGCTGAAACAAAGATGCAGGATATGGAAAACTGAAATGAAACTGGGATTGATAAGGGTATTAGTGGAATGACAATGGGATAATGATGATGGAATGACTCATGAATGATTATGATGATAAAACAACTGACTATAACGGGGTGGTGACTGTTATTGTGTGTCAATCGTGATGATAATGGAATGATCATTGTGGGATATCTGAGGCAGTAATTATGCAGTCAGTGTTTGTGTCAGTGTTCCATCAAGCTGGTCATTCCATGTGTGAGGTGACAAAGGGCACCGTGACCCACATCACCGGCCAGTCCTCTTGCCGTTGCTGGTCCTGCCCCCACACTAGCATCTTCACACGCTACACTCTGACCTTTGACACCTGTTTCCCTCCTGATCCCTACAGGCAAGGAGAACTTCACCTATTCTCCTTCAGAATTAGGATGCAGGCTGGGGAGATGTACGTTGCCCTGCTAAATATACCACGAGACGACAGCGCCTTTGGCGTGACAGAGTTCAGTAGGCATCGTTACCTGTCCAAATGTGGCGAGGAGAAATCTGATCTCCAGGAAGCCTCCTTAGAAGAAAATGCAGACAATGGAGGAAATATCAGAGCTAACCGTGTTCCTGACCCGAGTCTGACACCACCTTTTATATCTTTCCTTTCATTTTCTTAACCAGAGCAGATTGCTGGTTATAAATACCTTAAATGAGTGTCGTGTTGACATGTTTCTATGCAAAATGCATATGACTCAGACAACCGTTTCTAAACGCCCATGTCTTTAAAAGCGATGTTTCATTCTGATTCTCATCCGGAGGAGGCTGGTGCTCTTATTCCTGCTTGGTTAATTACGACCTTTCACTCTATTTAGCGGGATTTCAGCAGCAAAGGAGTCTTTCAGCGAATAAAATCCGCAACAAAGGCAGTGCGTGACCCTGCAGCCATTAAGCAGCCTTCCCTGCCGCTTATTAGCCCTTCATTTGTGAATATTAGTGACTGGCGGGGAGTTTTCATTTCAGCGTAATTAATTATTAATGTGTAAACACACATTTCAGGAGGTGTTCATATGTGCTAAATTGCTAATTACTAATTAGCGCTCTGCAGGCTAAACATGATGAATCACGTTTAACTGAGGTGAGTGGGGGTGTTTCGGTCCACGTGCTGCTTTCACACGCTGCTTTGCACCGCATGTTCACACATTTGCACAAAGGATTAGTGATCGGCGCACATGGATTCTTGAAGTGCTGCAGCAGATATCGCTGTTCTTGTAGCACAGCATTGCCAAGGCCAGGTCTTGGACACTGGTGGGGGATGGTTGCCCCACATGTCAGGTGTTGGACTCGTTATAAGAGTAGGCTTTGACTGTAGGTACACAGGGAGAGTCTGAAGTTCCCAGTTTTGGATTCTGGGGCAGATGAGCCTATTTTCATTTAAGGGGGATTGTTGTGTTCCATATGTCTATACTTGTTCAAATCTCGGCATAACAAAATTTCCGAGCAGTGCATTTTTCTTTTTTGCTTTCTTGGGACTTGGTTTTATTTTACAGACAGAGCTGGGGGTGTGATGGGAGTAGGAGGGAGACGCAGTGAACCTGGGAGTGCATTAGCAGGCATCCTGCCTCCCCCGGAAGTTCCGGGAGTCTCCCGGGAGATTGGCAGCAGCTCCCTGACACCCGCAGATGATGCCCAGTGTCCCGGAAATCTGTCGTTCCGCTATTCAGCGGCTGTAAAATTAACCGGCAAGAATTGTTCCACCTCCCCCCCCACCCCAGTCAGCAATACATATACGGTATTACCGTGATACCAGCCAAGCACTGGCCAGCCCCCGCCCCTCCGGATGCCCCCCTGAAATCAGTATCCATCAGGTGGGATCTCTCTATTAGTGGCTCCAGCCGTAATACTTGGTTGTTTCAAAACTCAACAAGTTGAACATGGTGTTAGTGTTAAGGTCATGGGTTCAAATATAAGGGAGCATGGATGACTTGTAACAGTACTTGCTATTGCTAGTCACTTTGGATAAAAGCTACCAGATAGATGAATGCACATCTCCAGCTCGTTTTTCTTCGGTTGCGTGCCAGAATAGAGAGGCATCTGACTTGAATAAGTCTCCGCAAAAGTACAACACAGAAACGTTTGTGTATTGATAGATGTCATATGTTCTGTTGCATTCGATGCTGACTGTGTCGCATCAAAGCAGCAATGGTCCCAGTCACTGCAGCTTGGCAACGTGATGTGAGAGGTGAACGGGAGTCTTTGACAAGTGGGCTCATGGAGCTGTGGAGTGCTCTGGCTTCTTTGTGATAAGAAGCGAAGGGTTTTATGGGTAATGGCTTACAGAGTCTGCGAAAGCCAATTTTCATTTTACAGGGTGGTTCAGGAAAACTCATTCATGAGAAATGCTACCTGATTGGCTAGTGAATGCCTAGGACAGAGTTCACCAGCTAATCAGGTAGCTTCTCTCATGAATATTGATGAACTTTCGAGATCACCCTGAAAAAACTGGTAGCACATGGCCATGGGAGCACTTTCATTGGCCAATCAGGTAGCTCCTTTCATGAATATAAATGTTTTCCCAAACCACCCTGTGAAACGAAAATTGGCACCCCCCAATCCCACCTCGATAGCACGTTTGTTTTCAAGGCTTAATCGCAGAGCCAAGAGACCCAAATCACAAAACTGTTTGTTCCTTTGTAATAGACAATTTGCGGTGAACACAGTTAATGTAATTTTCTGTTTAGAACAATAGATTGCATGTTAATTGTTAGCTTGTGCAGACCACCTGACAAGGTAAGAGACAACTTGATGGTCGAGGCCTCGTTTATGTCAGCAAACATCAGTCATGGCCACAGTGGTGCTTGTTTGTCTCACAAATTCACTTTAATACAGTCCAGTTTCTCTACTTGTCAGGTAAAATTAATGCAGACGTACAGAAAAAAACCCAGCTATTGGATTCTGTGTGCTCTGACTAATAGGGCACACAGAAACCAAGAAAAAGGTATATTAGCCCACAAGATAGTTATATATGCCATCAGAAATAAACATTGTTAACCTTGTAGTTACTTTAGACAAACTCCATTTGCACTTTTAGAAAACCTCCCAAGTATAATATGAATTTCAGTTATGGGGGTAATTTGTTCAAAATCTATCTCTGTTTACTGTGATATTGACCTACAGTTGCAGCAAGCGATACTGATGTTTCTATCGTTTAAGCTCAACCTTTTTTAATGAGCCCCACTGTGTATAAAAGAGACATGTAATTCACCACAAGTGAATCAATGAAAACTAGTAAACTGAAAGTTATCATTTTAACTAATGCAGTTTGTTTACAAAGCAGCCCAAACTTTTATGGGGTAGTTATATAATACATTTCTGTAAGGGTTGGTGGACTTTTGTAGTGACCCTCATCTGTACCTCGGTAATGTGGTGACCCCGTCTTTTGACCTACAGCTATGCAGTGCTCATGTGTCAGGCCGAGATAAAGCTCTGCGTTACTCATCTTCCTGGCCTGGCTAAGGTCGTGCGGTGCT